GGCCCCGGCAGCTGCCGCCGGAGGAGCAGCCGCCGCCCCCGGCCTCCCGCCGGGAAGCCTTCGGGAAAGCGTTGGTGTTCGCGTCTGCACCGCGCCCGGGGGTGCGAGGGAAGGGGAGAGCGGCAGGGGTTCGTTCGGTAATAAGCCTTTATTAACTGTTACAGTCCCAGAGAAATCCTGATGCTGTGAAGTTTCACACTTAACCATCTCATAAATCTCATTAAAAAATCTTGTTAAAAAAAATCTCCTAAGACAAGAATTGATCTTACTGCTACAGTTGCTCTGTGAGCAATATAACACTTGCTCAAATGTAGAAGTGATAGGCCAAGAGGTTTTCACTGAATTTGCAAACAGCGTTGTCTAGCAGAAGGAGCTGCTGGTCAGGAAACATGAAATGTTTCCACCATTGCTGTACTCTCTCTGGGTTTGAAGATGTCGATAGGTTTGGAGTTACAGAAAGTGCTGCTTGAACAGACAGAACTGTACGTTGAGAAGCTTGACTTCAGCTTCCTGGTTGTGAACACATTGAATTTCTCTGTCAGTAGAACATACAGAGCTTTCTTTGATATGCCAAGTCCAAATAGCTTTTAATTATTAACTCTGGAATAGGTGTTCTTTTTCTTTGGAAGCAATTAAGCATCTATGATAAGAGTACAGCTTTCACCTTTTGTATGTGAGTATGTAATTAACCTTAATACAAATAGCCCTTGTGACGATGGGGTAACTCTTTGGGCAGAGGTACTTCACTGGTCATGCCTGCAAAGGTACTTCACTGATAAAGGCCTAAACTTTCTGGGTAGGGTATTTTTTGCTTGTTTGGGTTCTTTGTTTGTTTTTAGTGCCCACAGCAGTTTCAGGTAGTTCAACAAGACAGTGCCCACATTAGTATTTTAAAATGCCAGCTATGTGTATTCTTAAAGGTTACAATGCTATAGATAGTTGACCTGGCTTAAATCAGGCTGTGGGTCCATAAGCTAAACCATCCTTGCAGCCTGTCTGCATGCAGTGGTACCCTGCGCTTCTTGGACCTCCTGCCTAACCCTCCGTGGTGTGCGCAGGCCTGGTCTCCGCTCCTAGAGGTACCTTTTCCACCTTCCATGCCTGCTGCCACCAGCGATGTGATCAGCCTTGTTTGGTTGCTGCAGTCCTTGCCCTTCAGCCCTTCACTGTAGGGATTGTGCTTACAAATTGTGCATGTGCACCTATAACAGGCTTTGTTTAAAAACCAAAATGAAACAAAAACCCAACACCCAAAACTGTTCTTTTAGTGGTTAATGTCACACTGAGTTCAAAGTTAATACAAGACCTGGCCATACCTTCTTCTCCCTGAAATTTCTGGTACCTTAGAAGTGGGGCACAAAGAATAAATCTCTTTACTCTGTGAACATGCTTATCTGAACAGCACAGAATGATCTGCTGGAGATCCGGAAACAGCTTGCTATCTCATTTCTTATCACTAATACAGGGTAGTCTAAGGAGCTGAATTAGTCCTAGGACACTCAGAGGCAAGGTCTACGTCTCAGTTTCAGGTTGCATGTCAGCAGCTTCTGATTGCTGTTAGGTGATTACGGTGACCTTTGGTATGATTGTGTAGCAAATCATAGCTGCCCTTCTTGGAAGAGTGCAATAATGTCTTTAGCTGTAACGGCTGGTGTGTATTTCCTCGTCTATCTGTGATGGGACTAGCAAGCCTGAATATTCTATACTCAAAGCCAGAACCATCTTTACCTTTTTTGTGTGTGTGCCAGAGCCGTGTTAATGCTTTTGTCTCTCTTGGACAATACAGTCAGCAGCACTAACTCAACACTTAATTTTCTTGCTGTGATTCGTGAAAGGTGAGACCTGTAGCACTCTCAGCAAGTGGGGACTGGTCTGAATGTATGACCTCTAGAAGCAGTTAGCTCAGGAAGCAATGAGAATGGTGCAGAACCATCAGCATTGTGTACTGTCAGCGCCTCTCATAGCTCTAGGTTTGAAGAAAAGAAGTAACAGTGTGGTGGTGGTGTGGGCTGAGTGCCATACAGGAATGTTGCTGTTACTGTTTCTGTAAGGGTAGTTGCCACCCTCCTGGCACATAAACTCTTTGATAGCCCAGCACTAGAGCTGATTCAGGCATGGTGGCAAAACCTCACATTAATAGCCTTTCATAGCAGAAGACAGCTCCCCTTGCCTGTTTCCCTTTAAAAGCAACAGTCTGTCTGAGTTTTAGATGCCTTAGTTATGCCTGTAGCTAAAAGTTCTGTTTCATCAAGCATCTGTGTTCTCTCTTGGTATAAATCTACTCACATAAGGGATTGACTTTAAAGAGAAACTTGAAAAAAGTTTTGGTTATACCCTCTCCCTTTCCCCACACCAGAAACAACCTGAGATCATGAGGCTTTCCCTGTTAACACCAAGGGCATGCCTGACGCTTCAGTGAGGCTCTAGGTTTTTACCTGGTTCGAGTATGGTGTGTCATGGTCTCTAGAAATAGCTACAGAGCAAGGCAGAGGCTTTCTTCTGGGATAGGAGCAGGAATGTAGAGAGCTTGTTGCTTTCTTAGTTCTTAGGGCAAAGGTTTTCCTCCTGCTTGATCTGTTTTTTCCAGGAGGGAGGGGAGAGTAAGGGATTGGAGAAAACAACCCTCCTCCTCTTCTTGCATGGTTTACTTCATTAAATCATCAGCCATCAAGCTGGCAGTGTACTTGCTAAGGTCTCGTTCTGCACTGGCGTGCTGAGGCAGCAGGGCACAGGAATGAGAATGGTTCCTGAGGATGTCGGGAATCCTTCTCATGTCCTCTTGTGGAAATAGTAGGGCTATATGAAGCACACAGTAAAATGCCTGTATAGCCTAGTCTGCCAGCGCTGTTGCTCCCACCAGCAGAGAGCACTGAAGGTGAATTACAGCTTTAACTCTTGGTGATCGGGACATTTTTCTGTGCTGGGTGTGCCCTGTGCCTCAAGGTTTGTGTGGGAGCAGGCAGTGCAGGGCTTGGTGCACAAGCGGAAGACCAGCGTGATCTGGGAGTCAGGCAGAGGAGATCGTCCTTGGTGTGGTAGGTACAAAGTCCGGGTTTGCTGTGTCACTTCTCTGGTTTCTGTTGGGTTGGAGTCGGCTCCCCCAGTACATCTGGCATGATAACTGACAGGCTTGTTGTGGAACCAGTGCCTGGTGGCGTGGCTGCAGGACCTTGTCTGGTGTGCTTCTGCTCCAGCATTTTCTCTGAGCACTTACCTGCTACATCTCCTGTCCTTTCTGGGAGCACGCACAGCCTTTCTGCGTGGAGGCATGCTTTATTTTTACCCGTATTTCCAAGGGAATTTCACAAGCTAGCTGGATTGCTCTGTGTGTTTGTTTCTTTTGCACGTTACCACTGTACTTGAATGGATTAAGCCCCTCTGTTGTTCCTGGTGAGGGGATTCTCACCTACTGTGAAACCGTGCTGGTAGGCCGATGGCATTTGAGTGTGCCTCCTCTGCTCTGTGAGGAAGAGCTGCCAGAGGACTGGGAACTGACAGCTGTATGTGGCAGTATAGTCTCTTATGGTGTACTGGCTGTAAGGGAAAGCGTGTTTCAAAGAGCAGGAAATACAGTAACTTGCAGTCTGGGGAGTGCTGGAAATCATGTGAGAGCATGAGAAGCAGCAGTAGAGAGTGTCTCGTGTCCATTTTTAGGAAGTACTTAATACCATGCGGTGTTCACAATGTCCTCTTCTCAAGGTTGCACTTAATGGGTGGAATACTTTTCACCACTTTACAGTTGGGGAAAACATGGTAAAGGGCAACCGCTTGACATTTATGTATGTGGAGCTATGGTCAGAGGTGAACAGCTGTGTCCTTGATGTGTACAGATCATGCGTACTGTGTATTCAAACTCTGTCACTTCTTCAGCAGACAGTGCTGCTATTGTAGGTGACAGTGCAAGACACACTCGTTTCCTGGTGTTTATAAAGCATAGCTTGTATCCTGACAATTGGCTTCCATGGTCACAGCATAAATCAGAGCCAGCCTGCAAACCCAGAAACCCTGACCTGCAACCCAAACTGTTGCTGATGCTTCCTTGGTGTCCTCTTTCCCTGCCAAAGAGTTGTCCCTTCTTCCTTTTCCCTCCTCCCTGCAAACTCATGCACCTCTCAAACTGGTCTCTCTGTTTCTGTAGGTCTTCTTGAGCTGAAAGGATGAAAATTGGCGATTGGAAAGTCACTGTCGCTGTCCTAAGCTTCATCCTAAATTCTGGAGTCCCAGTGGATGTCTTTGGGTGTACGAGCCTACAAGAGTGTCCACTGTCCCCTTCCATGATTTAGACAGCGACTTGGAGCATGCATCATTGTAAGGTTTACATGATTTCAGTGCTGGCGGTGACACTGTCCCTTTCCCAGTTGGTGCAAAGGGGTTAGTTTCACAATGGAGCTGCCTATCTAAAACTATCTTGAATCCCGGATGCCCTCCTATCCCGAGGGTCTCTTTCTGCTCCCTCCTTTTGTGCTGAGCAGCATGTTCCCTGGGCTCACTCATGCTAGATCAGTCCCTGCCCTCCCCACCATCACCTGCTTCCAGTAGCACAGCTGGCCCCTGGCTTGCCCTGCACCTGACTGTCTCTATCCCTTTTTGCATGCTGTGGTTCCAGAGCGGGATGGTCGGCCACCAAAGCTGCAATGTCGTCCCTGACGACCTCCAGTGAGGGAGAGAACTCCACGCCCAGGTTTGTTGTCGGTTCCAGGGACGATGAGACAGACTTTCTGGGATCAAACATGAAGACAGACGAAACTGATTTCTTTGAAGATGATGAAGAGGAGGAGTCGGTAAGGAGGTCCCAGCATTCTGGGTTGGAGCATCTGTGCAGAATTCCTGGGTGTCAGCCAGGGTTTGCGCAGTTGCTGCTGAGGCCATAGGCTGTCAGGACTTCAGGGGACGTGGCACCAGGCTGTGTGGCGCAACTGTGGGGAACAGCAATGTCATTTCTGACAGGACATATTACATTGTCATGCTGCCATACTCGCTGCCTCATGCTGCAGTAAATCCTAGCCTTTAAACTTGTGGGTCTTTTTCAGGTACTATAGCAGATTTCTTTGTCCTAGCAACTTAACCCTGACACTCCTGTAAATCTTTCTGTTTCATCAGGGAAATTTTTCAGGAAAACTCTGGGAACTGTGAAAAGGGCAAAGGTGTGTCTGCAGAAAGGAAGCATTTATTTTTTTCTGTAATCTCCAGGAACAGGATGCAGAAAGGAGAATGATCTCCAGCTCCTGACTGCTTTTGGCCCCTATTCAGTGTTATATTAAATGTTACATTTGCTGTTCTGCACATGGGACTTGGATGCTGCAGGGACATTGCTGCTGGCTGTGCGAATTGCTGGGACCATACACCAATGCAGCAGTCATTTCCATTGCCTCTGTACCCTGAGTCTCCATTGCAAGTGGGTTGTTGACCTCAGAGCCCACATGGGCTTCCTTCAAACCCATGCAGTGTTGTGTACCTTGATGCTCAGTGAGGAACTATTTATCAGGTGTGGTGAAGGATTTGGAAACCTTTTCACTTTCCAGGTGTTGCTCTTGCTGTGGAACCTTGGCTTTGCAAGTCTGTGCAGTAACTTCTAAAGTCTCAGCTTACAGTTAGAAGCCACAATTGTTTGTGCTGGGTAACCCGCAGTCCTCTGTGTATCACTTCAGATGATCTCACTGCATTTAATCTTGCATGGGCCAGAATTAATCTGTCAGGAAAACATCCAGTCTGGGGTTTCTAGACGTTGACAGAAGTCCACCACGGACCTCAGCCTGTTCCTCTGTTACGGTTACCAGTGCTTTTTGAATGCCTGCCTTCTTTCTTGACTTATGCAACTTCATCCCACTGGATCTTGTACCTTTGTCAGATACATGGAAGAGCACTTGGTACTGTTTCTCTTCTACTCATAGCTACCTATTGTTGTAATCTCCCCTTCATTTTCTCACATAAGACAAACAGACTGAGCTCCTGGGCTTTTTTTGCTATAAAATATTTGTGGCTCTTTCCTGAGCCTGCCTAAGTCCACCAACTGCCTTGGTGAGTTGTGGGCCAGAGAACATGATGTGGGATTCCAGTTCCTGCTGCTTGTTCAGGTGCCAGGTATTTATTTTTGACCTTAGCATTAGTGCCCAGTAAAAGGAGGAGGTACATACTACTTGGCAAAGAAGCAGTTGTTTTGGGCTGGTCCTTAATGATGTCCCCCAGTGGACTCTTGTGGGACCTGGAAGTGTGTATGGGTTTGAGTCTAGCAAGAGCTGTAAGTGCGTAAGGTTGGAAGAAAACCCCTTGTTTGTTCTGCATTGCTGCATCTCTACACTGTTGTAGTTTAAATGCGGTAAAGTAGTCGACCCTGTACTAAACTGATCTCTATCTTCCCTTAGCCACCTGAACGGCAGATTGTGGTTGGAATCTGTGCCATGACCAAAAAGTCCAAGTCAAAGCCCATGACACAGATTCTGGAGCGTCTGTGCAAGTTTGAGTATATCACAGTGGTGATTATGGGGGAAGATGTTATTCTGAATGAACCGGTGGAGAACTGGCCCTCTTGTGACTGCCTAATATCATTCCACTCCAAAGGTAAAAAGTCTGTGGCAGGCCTTAGCCTGCTTGAGATTTGGGCAAGGGAGCTTCCACTCATTCTTCCACCCCTGCCCCCCGGTCCCTCTGTATTTCAGGATTCCCACTGGATAAAGCGGTCGCTTATGCCAAGCTGTGCAAGCCATTTCTGATTAATGACCTTGATATGCAGTATTATATCCAGGACAGGTAGGTGTCTGTGATCCACTAAAGCCCCTTCCCTCTCCCTTTGATTCCTCTCCTCAGCATGCTGTGCAAACTTCGTCTTCCTGGCCACACGCAAATGAGTGAGCTGGGGAGGAAGGGGACCTTAGCAGTGGCTTTTAGGAGTTGTTTCCCCAAAACATGGAGGGGAATAGATTTTGCGATAAACCCATTGAGACTTGACATGTTTCATTTTCTGGTGCAGATGTCTTGTAAGGAATGGCTAGATCAAGTAGGAAGTGGAAGAGGACTTGCAGAATGAGACTGCCACGACTAAGACAAAAAGACTAGTCTCTGAGTAGGAGAGCCAAGTAGTGGGATGGGGTTCTGGGCCAGACATTGGGAGCAAGGCCAGGTCAGATTCTGAGGAAGGTATGTTGGTCAGACACTTCAAGGGGCTTCTCAGTCAGCTCTTGGTAGAGGCCACCAGCAGTCACATACTTCAGTGCATACAGCCAGACTGCTTTGGCTGTATATGGGTAGGGCTCATACCAGACCCCAAACCTTCTGCCATGTCTTTGGGTTGCGAGGCGTGTTCCTGTGGGTGCTGATAGGTACCCCAAAGTGTAACTCTAGTGGAAGAATTGCAGTTTCCCTACTGACACAGGATGAAAAGAGGCTCTGCTGCATCTGCCTGGCCTGGGCATTGGGCAGCCTAGCATGACAGGGCACCCTTCGAGAGGGCAGATCTGGGTAGGTGGCATGTGCTGGGTGTGTTGCTGGTGGTTGGGCATGTGCTAGTAAATAAGCATCCATGTTTAGGTCAGATAGAGATTTACTCTGGGACATCTCTGTCTGGAGTAGGACTGGGGCATGCCCCATAGCCTGTAGGTCTTATCTGGAGAGCATGTGCTGAGAAGTATTTGCACTCTGTCTTGAGGCTTTTTTGTATTCATTTGACTTTGTTTTTCATCAGTGGGAGCGAAGCCTTTCCCTTGGCATGAACTGAGGACGTTCTAGAGTCTTCTGACACTGTTTCTGTCCTCTACAGGCGTGAAGTGTATCGGATCCTTCAAGAAGAGGGAATAGACTTGCCCCGCTATGCTGTGCTCAATCGAGACCCTGATAGACCAGAAGGTCAGTGCCCAGGCTCTACTGAAAGGCATTTTCACATACTGTACTATTTAAGATATTCTGCAGAGAACAGGTCCTGATAATCAGCTTGAAGAGGCCTGATCCACAAGTCTGTTGTTTTTTGCGGACAAAGGTCCCAACAGCAAAACTGGCTGACTGGCCCAGACTGAAGGCCAGTGGACTTGGGCTTCAACTTTGCACTAAGGCTGTCTCACCCTTTCCTAACGTGCTGCTGTGGTGCTTTGTCTTCAGAGTGCAACTTGGTGGAAGGAGAGGACCACGTGGAGGTAAACGGAGCTGTTTTCCCAAAGCCATTTGTAGAGAAGCCAGTCAGTGCTGAAGACCATAATGTGTATATTTACTACCCAACATCAGCAGGTGGGGGCAGCCAGCGGCTCTTTCGGAAGGTGAGGAGGGGGACTCCAGTTTTGGTGTTGGAACCAGCAGATCTGTAGCTCTGAGACCCATGTAGCTTCAGGAGGGAATGTTGGGGCAGGTGAAGGGGAAAGGAAGGTTTTGTGGTGGGGAAATCTAGACCTTCTTAGAACTTTTAGTTCAACCCCATCTACCTGGGAATTGCAGAAGGACATATTTTAGTGGTAGTGCTGACTTCGCCTTCCCCATCCTCTGTTTGACCTGTGTCCTGTCTAGCAGTCATGGAGAACTGTGTCCCTTATTGAATTGCATACTGTTTTTTCCAGATCAGTTCCTCAGTTTATCAAGATGATTTTTTAAAAAAATTTATGTTCCTGTCCTCTAACATCATTGTTGCCCTTCTCAGCTTAGTGTAGCTTGCAAATGTGATAAATGCAGTATTTATTCCTAGATTCCACAGGGAATCTGCCCTTACTCACTTCCCCCACTTTGCCAGAAAACAGTGGCAATAGCTCTGATGTATCTTTTTTCCAATCACTTATGCATCTGCTATTAATAATCTTAAAATGATTTTTTCCTTAGCTAACATACAGGCATGCCACCTGAGGTTGTATCCAAAGTCTTACTAAAAATGACAACATCATCCTCCTCTGTCCATAAGATCAGTCAGCTGCCCTTGAAGGAGGTTAAATTGGTCTGATTATCACCTGTCATCATTTATTTTCATTTGTTTATTAGCTAGGCTCCTTACTTTCTAGGTCTTTATCCACTGTTTTTTGTTCCATATCCCTGTAGTGATTGGAGTCAACGTAATGATCTATAATAACTTCTCTCCTCTTTAAAGCCTGGAAAAGGACATACCTACTGTCTGTGTTCTGGAGTCTCTTTTGTCCCCCATAAATAAGTGTGCCATAATAGCTGGGGGTTCCAAGAGGTGTTCTGCTAATTCTCTACTTATGGGATGAAGCTTATGTTTTTTGTTGTTCCACCTAAGAAAAGGAGCCCCCTGCTCTTCCCTGAGGTGTTTATTCTGTCCTTTCAGATTGGCAGCCGGAGTAGTGTGTACTCCCCAGAGAGCAGTGTGAGGAAGACAGGCTCATACATTTATGAGGAGTTCATGCCTACAGATGGCACTGATGTAAAGGTAAGGACAAGCCTGGAATAGCTCCTTCCTTCTCCAGGCCTGGGATGGCTGAAGGTTGGGCAGTCCTGCTTAGTCGTACTTAGATTCTGGAGTGTTTGTTTGAGCTGTGAGGCATTGACTGTGCAGCGTGGATCCCAAAGAGGGGAGCGGGTGTTCTGTAGGTCATAACAGGAGAAATGTGCAAGACCATCTGGTCTTCTTCTCTCTGTGTCTGCAGTAGAAATACCTTCTGGAAGCTGCAGTTAGTCTAGGTGGTTATGTCAGGTTTAACTATTTCTCTTCCCAGGTGTACACTGTTGGGCCAGACTATGCCCATGCAGAAGCTCGCAAATCCCCTGCTTTGGATGGGAAGGTTGAACGGGACAGTGAAGGGAAAGAAATCCGTTACCCAGTCATGCTGACTGCCATGGAGAAACTAGTTGCCCGGAAAGTCTGTGTAGCCTTTAAGGTCTGTGTTTTCTCCCCTATGCAAGCGGGATACTCCATGAATGTCTGATTTGAATCTTGGTCAGTGTTAAAGCTTGAGCTCTGTTACCCTGATGTGTCTCTTGTGTGGCAGTCTTCCACAACTGATGCCAGTTGCTGTCTCTGCTGGCTGGGTGCAGCTGGTCCTGCTGGCCATGGCAGTTTGCTGGTCAGAGATGACTGGGAAGGCAGGAGGGCCTGCAGCAAATCCCCTCTGTGCTGGCAGGTGGCTGGTGTCCAGCGTACATCTGAGCATTTAATACCAGATTCTGAGCATGCTGCTGTCCATCTGACCTGCACTTGTCCTGCCTTTACTGTTTCCTAGTTGTGTTTGTGTGGAAAGCTTGGTCTTCTTTTCTTCTGGTTTGTTTTTTTTTTGTTGTTGTATTTTGGATCTGGCTTTGGTGCACATTTGTGTTCTATTTTACAGGTCGGTAGAGTGAGTGTGTGAGTCTAGGTATGGTTACATGACATGTTCAGCAATGGCAGCAGAAGAAGCACGTGGCTACTTGTTCCTGCCCCTGCTGCAATCTGGAACCCATGCATTTGTTGTGATACAGCTGTGGGCTTGTTCTACCTTGTAGCCTTTTCTACATAGTGATGGATGTCTTTGCCTGCACCAGTTATTGTCTGTACTTGTCAGTCTGGTTCAAAACTCTTGGATTTAGAGGCAGGAGCAGGAGAGCCAGGAGCTGCTTTGTCTTAAGCCTTTAGAGCTCTGGGAGGTAGAAGGGCAGCCCTGATGGCTTAATCTGGGGGCTCGTGGGTTGGGCCTTTGATACAGCTGTGAGGGTGTAAAGGTTCCTCTAAAGGGCCTGTTACTGCTGGCTAGGGGGTGTATTTGCATGCTTCTTCATGGCTCATGAGGTAGGCATAGAGTGGAGGACGGCTGCAGCACCAGTGGAGCTGAACCGGGCAGTGTACATGGGCTTGGTCTGTGTGTGCGCCTGCTTGGCTGGGCAGCTGCCGTCCCCTTGCTGCACTCCCTCACAGCATGCCTGAGTCCTCTGTCCTCTGCTTCCTCATGCAGCAAACAGTGTGTGGGTTCGACCTCCTGCGGGCAAATGGCCACTCTTTTGTTTGTGATGTGAACGGCTTCAGTTTTGTGAAGAACTCTATGAAGTATTACGATGACTGTGCCAAAATCCTTGGGTATGTAGAATCAAGTTTTGATAGCGGGTAAGGTGACTCATAGCAAAGTAAAATGAATGTGGAGTCCTGATCAGTACGTCGGAGAAGTCTGCAGGTGGTTCATATGGGAACATTTGTTCAGCAGGTGAAAGCTTGGCTCTGGGAGGAATGGGTTAATTATTTTTAGCCTCTGGAGCTCCTGCCTGCATTGGCATTAGCTGTCTTTGTCTACAGCTAGTTGTATCTTACAGGACATTTCATTGGATACTAAGCCCAGCTGTGGTATTGGTGATGGGAGGGAAACTGGTGTCCTTTTCTGGTGCCCTGACTAGCCCATGGTGTGATAGATATCTCTGCGAGGAAAGTGGGGAGAAATTCTGTGGCTCTCTTCAAATCTGTCAGCTGGACCACTAAGGAGGAAGTGAAGGACCAAGGGAATGGAATTCCTTGTGAGTTTTGTATTCTCATTTTTTCCAGAAATATAATCATGCGGGAATTGGCTCCCCAGTTTCATATTCCCTGGTCCATCCCAACAGAGGCAGAAGACATTCCCATTGTCCCCACAACCTCAGGCACCATGTGAGTACCTGCCATCCTCTCAAAAGAATGCTGGTGATGGCTACATGAGGGACAAAGTGCAAATCCTGTCCAAGGGACAGACATCACCCAGCAGCATGGCGTTCCCCAGCTGCTGTGTTGGTTGCAACCCTGAAATGCCCATGGAAAGGCTTAGCCCTTTTGCACACAAAGGGGAAGACAGATTGTAAATTAGTCATAGGTTTGATGAATGCAGATGAGCAGTCATTGAAGGAATTACAGAAACTGCTCACGTGGCTTTCAGAAGGCCCAATTTCTTTATCAGCACAGGAAACAGATCAGGGCATCGCTGTAGCTGGCTCACTGTTCAGTAGGCTGCTACTTGGAGAAAATGCATGTTGAGCTGTGGGTGGAAAACAATTAGCTGAAGTATTCATGTTACCTGTACACTTGGCAGACCCTCATTTGATACTGTTGGCCTTACTAGTTTTCCCCCACATAAGGCTAAAGGACCAAAGGCAAAAGTTTCTTTGTGATCCTCAGCACACTTGTACACTTGTATGAAGTGAACAAAGTAGCTGCTACAGAAAAGGTAGATTGAGAGTATGTATTCATCCTTCTTTTGCTGTGTGATCATTTGGAAAACGTTGGCAAACACAAACACTGCACAGCTCACAGGACTGCTGGCTTCAATGGCACCTTGTGACAATGAGACTGAGAATCAATCCCCATTTCTCTGCGATCCTATAAGAAATAGTTGGATATTGTAGTATCTGAAAAAGCAAACTCATGTAGCCATTCTGAAATTAGCCAGCCTAACTACTGGTTCCTGCAGGTGGCTGATTGCTATGGGATCTTTCTACATACAGCTCTTAGTGGTTGCTCAAAGACAGGACCCCAGCTGTATAACCATTCTTCTGAATCAAGTTGTTTTTTCCTGGGTCTTTCTATATCGTTTCTGTAGATTCTGTAACATCCAGCCTTGTCCTTTCTGCTGCCTGTCATATTATGGTACTGTGGTGCTTTTCCCTGATAGGAAATCAGATGACCTGGTAGGGTCTGCAGTACTTTGACTGCTTTTACAGCCTTGGCACTTGTGCCTGGTTTAGCCTGGGAGAAGTTCTGCCACTGATGAGGAAAGCAGCTGTAAAAAGGATGGAACTGAAAGAACAATGGGAAGCTACTTTCTGGTGGCAATTCTGGAGTGTAGGGGCACATTTGTCAGCTGTATCTTGTGTTTCCCCAGGATGGAGCTTCGGTGTGTTATTGCAGTCATCCGGCATGGAGATCGCACCCCAAAGCAGAAGATGAAGATGGAAGTTAAGCATCCCCGGTAAGAGTCAAGGCAAGAAGATGCTGTGCTGCTGGGAAGTGAGGAGGGCCCATATTCTGAATCAAAAGGAGGAGCAGAAGGGCTGAGTGCATGGGAGGCAGTGCTTTTTTCTGGCTCCATTCAAGCAAGAGCTTTCTGCCCAATTGAGGGAGCCCCCTTTGCGCATAAGGATCCTAGCACCTTCTGTGTGAACACTGGAAGAACAAGTGTTCTTGTTCTTCTAGGTGCTGCAAAGGGAAGTATCCCACTAAATGGGAAGCTAGTGACTGCTTCCTTTTTGTACCTGCAGCTGGAAACACTTGTTTTTTTCAGAATTTCTGAAGCACAGAAAGGAGCCAGTGGGCCTGCTGGTTCTCCCTGAAGAACAGAGCGTGAATGCATATGTAGGGATGACAGTCCTTGTAGCACTGAAACAGCAGAAAATGGATCAGGGTTCTTTGTTGTCTGTTCAGGTTCTTTGAATTATTTGAGAAATATGATGGCTACAAGACAGGGAAGTTGAAGCTGAAGAAACCAGAGCAGCTACAGGTGAGGGGAGTCCTCTTTGGGGTTACAGTGTGGGACATGCAGGTAATACGGATCCCAGTGCGAGGCAATTCTTTGGAAGGGTGGAAACCCTCAAAAGGGCAACAGTCTGTCACACAAACGCTCCCTTTCTCATTCCCCAGCCTGTGCACACTCAGCTGGGTGATAGTATGAAACCAGAATGGAAACTTTGCATCCTAGCTGATGTGAAGACTGTAGGATGGGGATGACCTGATGTAGCTTGCCCACCTGTGTGGTTGTCTCTGCTGAAAGATGGGTCCAGGCTAGGGAGTGGGGCAGTTGGAGGCACCTGCTTGTTTCTGAACAGGGCTGGCGCCCAGGGTGGGGATGAAGCAAACTGCAGTGTGAAAGTTTGTCCTGCCTGAGCTGTGTCTTATGAAATGATGTGTCTCTGACGAGTGTCTGTGTGGACCTGATACTGGGTGAAGCCATCTGGAGGCCTTGCAAGAGTACAGTGGTGAGTCTGAGGCAGAATTGCTGGATGCTTGAGACTGTCTGCTCTCCAACAGGAAGTGCTGGACATTGCACGACAGCTTGTGGTGGACCTGGGAACCCACAGTGATTGTGAGATTGAGGAGAGGAAATCCAAACTGGAACAGCTGAAGAGCGTCTTGGAGATGTAAGGGTTCATATCTTGGGGCACCATGAGTTTGTCTCAGAGCCGTGGGTCAGCATGTGATGTAGAAGCAAGCTGTGCTGCTGCTGTCCTGGCCAGCTGGCTCCCCCAGAGGTCAGAGTCTCCTCCATCCCCTATTAGCAGCTGTACATGAAAGGTGACATGCTCTTAACATTTTCTTCTTGGCATCAAAACCACTGCTGATTCTTGTTCCAAGTGTGTCTGGTTTTTGGCTAAACAACCTGTGACAAAACTGAGCTTCCTTTGCTGCAGGAGAGGAACTGGAGTCCTGTAGGGACCACATTGATATGAAGCATTTTTGGTAGATTTGGAAGAAATCTTGTTTTAAATAAGATTGTCCTGGTGCCAGAAGTTTAACAAAAAGGAGCTTGGAAAACATGAAAAGATGTTTGTGTCCTCTTAGGTTTCATACAGCCCAAATAAAAGACAATATGGTGGTGTTGGCATCTTAGAAACAAAAGAAGGGTTTCTCTCAGAACTGTAGCTCACTGTGGCGTACACAGGCAGTGCCTGTGTTCAAGCCATGTCTGTGGAGCAGAGGATGAATTTTTGCTATGATTCCTTCCCCTGCTCTTTCTGCTCGTTAGAGATGTGGTTATCCGCAGAGCATCTGGCAGATTGGTTTTTTTTCTGTGATCTCATTAATTCACTTGTTAAAGATGTAGATAGAAATTAACTAAGGTTGATTAAAGCCCCAGTGGGGTGTGAGAGCACAGAGTGTTGTCAGCCGAAGAGCAGGCAAGTAAATTTATCTTTGAATTTCATTTGGGGGATTTGTTTGGCTTTTTCTGGGAGTACGTGCCAGATCACAGGTAGATGGCAAAAATGTTCATGTTCCGTGGCAATTGGTGTTGCAGCAGAAAGTCTCTTGCCTGTGCTGTATTTTTGCTGTGTGCTGCCTAGGGACCTCTGGGCAAAGGGTGAGTGGAGTTGATTTGTTTAAACTTTTTTTCCCCCCTCTCCTTGTGACAGGTATGGACATTTTTCTGGCATTAACCGTAAGGTTCAGTTGACCTATCTGCCTCATGGACATCCAAAAGCTGCAAGTGAAGACGAAGGTAAAGAAACCTGATGTTGCTGTCATGATCTTCAAGCCTGGTGTTCAAGAGTGCGTGCAGCTATCCTACCTATATAGGCCTCTGGATGTGCAAGCAAAATTAGTGACCCATATCTTATCTTTGCTCACATCATATGAAGGGTTGGAGTGATGCATAATGTAGTGTACCAATATACCCTGGATGGTGCCACAGGGATTATGCTTCCAATTTCATGAATGTCAGCCTATACCTTCAAAAAGTAATGACTCTTAATTTTGTACTTGCTGGTTTGGTTCCTGGTGATTTTGGGTCAGGCTTGTGTTGAGAATGCTCTGCAAGGTGCTGATGACAACCTCTTCTTCCTCCCCTCCTCTCCCCCTGCAAGATCAGCTTTGAGATCTGATGTAGTGAGTACCTGTTTGTCTCCTAGAAGCTCGCCGAGAGTCTTCCCCATCCCTCCTCCTGGTGCTTAAGTGGGGTGGAGAGCTGACACCAGCAGGAAGGGTCCAGGCAGAAGAGCTGGGGCGAGCCTTTCGCTGTATGTACCCTGGTGGCCAAGGTAAGCTTTGTCCATGTATCTCTGGTCCTGTCCTGTGACTGTGCCAGGCTGCCCAGCCCAGGTGACTAATCACCAATGTGAGGGATGCTCAGACATCTGTGGGCTGTGTGCAGCCTGTGTGACTCAGGTCATCACTGTTCTTGTTTTTTTGAGTTGACCTGGTAAGGATAAATAATTCAGGTGGGTTTTGCACCCCAAGATCCCTAAGCTGGCTAGAGTTGTCTGCTGCAGTGGTTAAACTTTAGTATGTCTTGGAGCGCAATAACATTCTTCCAACTAATGTGCCAGTATTCAAAAAAGAGAAGCCATTCTAATAAGATACATTCCGATGAAGCAGATACAATTCAAAATTTATGTATGATTAACAAGGAATTTAGCTCAGATGTAGAGAACAGAGGAATTCTGTCTTGGAACACAGGTAATTCTGCCTTGAGACAGGAGAACAGAAAGGTAACTTCTCCGTATTTTCTCTGCATAATTCTGTGACACTGAAAAGCATTTAGTACACACACAGATCAACAAGACCCCAAAGGACAAGAAAAAAGGTTGAGATTGCCTTTTTCATCCAAGTAGAGTCAGAAGTAATACACTGCTACTGTATTGATCTGGTGAGACCAGTATTGGATACTGCTTATCTTTGACTTGTATGTTTAATTAATTCAATTTAATTAATTAAATGTCAAATTAATCAAGCTAATTTAAATTGAATTGGAGAAGATTTCCTTCTGGAATAAGGGAGAGTTACCCTTGGTGGCAGAGGGTTGGGACAGGGAATACTTAAGCAAACTGGACATACCTAAGTCCATGGGCCCTGATGGGATGGACCCATGAGTGCTGAGGGAGCTGGCAGGTTTCACCGTGAGGCCAGTCTACATTATCTTTGAAAGATTGTGGGGACTGGAGGAGGTGCCTGAGGACTAGAGGAGAGGAAATGTCACTCCTAGCTACAAAAACAACAAGAAGGAGGACCCAGGGAACTGCAGGCTGGTCATTCTCACCACAGTCACTGGGAAGGTGATGGAGCAGCTAATCCTGGAGACCATTTCTGGGCACATGAAGGATAGGAAGGTGATTGGGAGTAGTCAGCATGGACTCACAAAAGGAAGTCATGCTTAACCAACCTGATAACCTTCTACAGTGAAGTGACTGACTTGTTTAGATGAGGGGAGAACAATGGCTATGGCCTACTTTGACTTCAGTATGGCTTTTGACACTGTCTCTGGGAACATCCTTGTAGCTGATGGAAGTATGGGCTGGATGAGCAGACAGTGAGGTGGATTGAAAGCCAGCTAAATGGCTGGGCTCAGAGGGTGGTGATCGGTGGCACAAAGTCTAGTTGGAGGCCAGGAACTAGCAGTGTAGCCTAGGGGTGAAAACTGGGTCTGATCCTCTTTAATATCTTCATTAATGATCTGGGTGATGGGGCAGAGTGTACCCTCAGCAAGTTTGCAGATGACACAAAACTGGGAGGAGTGGCTGATACGCCAGAGAGTCATGCTGCCATCCAGAGGGACCTCAACAGGCTGGAGAAATGGGCTGGCAGGAACCTCATCATGTTCAACAAGGGGAATTGCAAAGCCCTGCTTCTGGGGAGGAACAACCCCCTGCACCAATACATGCTGGGAGCCAACCAACTGGAAAGCAGCTTTGCAGAAAAAGATCCAGGGGTCCTGGTGGGCACCAGGATGAATATGAGCCAAGAATGTGCCCTTGCCACAATGAAATCAAATGGTATCCTGGGCTGCATTAGGAGGAGCGTTGCAAGCAGGTCGAAGGAGGTGAGCTGTGAGGCCAAATGTTTGTGATCTCAAGAACACATTTTTAGCAAATGTGAGGATAAACTTTCCAAAGGATGAGAAAACTGAGTGCGCACGCTGTTGCTTACTGCAAGGTGCCAACAAGTAGAGCAGCCTGTCAGTGCACAGAGACTAAAGGAGGAGGAGCAGTAGCGGACAGAGGATCTTCATGAGAAGGCCTGTGTGCCATTCTTGAAGACGGGAGCAGTGAGTTAGGCTGGGGACTTCCTGGTGCTGTTGTGGATCTCTGAAGCCTGGAGCTGAGAGGATGAGCCACTGACTTGGACAAGAGATTGGGGAGACTGGAAGACTGTGCAGGAGAGGCAATTCCAGTGGAAGTACAGGGAGTAGATTGCAGCGTAATGAGCCAAAACCTGAGAGAAGAGACCTGTCTGCAGAGCTCTGGTCAAGTGGAGTGCAGTTACCAGCAAGCTGGGCTGAGCCCTAAGGTATGGTCTATGCCAGTTCTGAACTGACTTCTCCATATCTGGTGAGCACTGACTAGCTGCCCTTTTGCTCACAGTAGAGCTAGATCTGAGCATGTACAAGGTGACTTCAGTCCTTCTGAATCATGGCTTTGGAGACTTCTGCTTCACATGGTCATTCATGGAGAAGGAGAGATCTTATTTTGCAGTGAGATGCTGTGTTTCTCGGTAGCCGTTGGTACATGGAAGCTTTGTCCAGATATACAGCTGACTTCTGGCTGGTGTCTGTCATTGTCTAGCAGGGTGTTTCTCTGAGTTGTGAGCTCAGAGCTGGGAGCAGTTTTCCCATCTTCCCATGCAATGTGACTGGGTACTGTGCAAAATCATCATAGGATTCTAGGCAGCAGCAAATTAGTCACCACTGCACTGTCTTTGGAGGGTCAGACTCGAGACCTGCATGAGTTGCTTTCTCCCATTGCTGATCTGACTCCTGTGGTTGACTCAGCCACCATAAATAAACTGTCATTTTGTGCCGCAAGATAATTGTAGCTCTACAGGATATGCTTTGGAAGCCGGGTGCCTCCCTACTGAATAACTCTGCCTGCAGTTCTGATGGCAGCAGTACCTGCTCGTATGCAGAGTACTAGTAGAAGGAGGCAATTTTTTTTTGTGCATCTTTATTCTGCACAGGTGTATTCAGGCTAGCAGAACAATTACGGACTGTTCAGAGAGGGTTGCTGCGGAATTTGGGCAGCATCATACTTGACTGGTGAATGCTCACTTTTTTTCCTCAGAGTGAACTTTCCCAAGTTAAGCAAAGCCTGAATTAAATTTCTAGTCATCATATATAGCTAAAACTGTCTATTTGGGAGCAGCCTAAATGCTGGCTATGAAAGTGATTAATTCTCTATATAACTTTGTTACTACAATAAAGTTTGTTGTCTAAAGCAGTATATTCAGCTGATAGTTTTGCAGGTGTCAGAATATTAATTGTGAGTTTGTTCTCTGTTCCAGGTGATTATGCTGGTTTCCCTGGATGTGGCTTGCTGAGGCTGCACAGCACCTACCGTCATGATCTCAAGATTTATGCCTCAGATGAGGGACGAGTTCAGATGACAGCAGCAGCTTTTGCAAAGGTCCTTCTTCTCTTTTGGGCATCTGTTAGTTCTGCTACATTAGTCTTAAAATATGCCAGTTCTAAAGGAAAACATCTGGTGATGAGGAAGGAGTTGTCCTAGGAACTTCCCACTCTCTGTTGGGAGGATGGTAGCACATTATGCTAATAGCAACTGTATGGGGCGGTACTGGAAATCCAGTGTAGCTGCACATGTATGTTACCTTTAGTATCCTGTCCAGGATAGGACCCAGGCTGGAAAAGGAGTTATTTATGGAGTATTGCTGGTGTTTGATGTTAGAGCACATCAAACCTGTTGCTGAATATTAATTACCTACAGAATGAGTGTTTCTTGGGTGACTGCCCAGCCAGAGGGGTTATTCCTTGACTGCTGGATTTAAAAGGGGAATGAAATGTCTTTGGTGCAGTGTGGGGTGCAGGCTGGGGAGAGGACAGGTTCATCTGCAGTTAAAGCTGGAGCCAAGGGGAATCCTGTGGTGGACCTTAGCTGTTCTTCAAAGCCTCTGGTGTATCAACATTTTCCAGCAAACTGAATTGGCTGCTCAACAATTGCCTAGACAAATATGGGGCTGCTGCAGGCAGAGCTGGCCTTTTGCCTTGAATAGCTCTAGAAGCATGCCAGAGTCACTGGTGACTGCAGGTGCTGTTTCTGTAAAACTGCTCTTCAAGGGCAGTTGAGTTTTCACTCAAGTTGATTGAAGGCTGGCCATGAAACTACCAGAAATGTTTGTTGCTTGGGCTGCACATAGTTGAAATCTTGTCCTGTGTTGCTTTAGGGTTTGCTGGCCCTGGAGGGAGAGCTCACCCCCATCCTGGTGCAAATGGTGAAAAGTGCCAATATGAACGGTCTCCTGGACAGTGACAGTGATTCCCTTAGCAGCTGCCAACACAGAGTGAAGGCACGACTGCATGAAATCATGCAGAAGGATGCTGATTTCTGTGAAGAGGATTATGAAAAGGTAAAGCACCTGTGTGGCTTTGTTGCTTCCTGTATCTGGAAGGAGAATAGCATTGCTCCAGTGGTTTGATGTGAAGCCTGCTGGTATGTGAACAGTAGTTTGGTTAGTCTGAGATCAGTTCTGGTCAAAATTACAGGGTATAAACAGAACTTGAGGAGGGAAAGGGCAGGTTAATGGCCCCTGCCCTTCTCCAAGGGAAAATCCTCAGTGTTGCTCCACTGTCCCCTTCAAGAATCATCACGGTACCTTCCTCTCCCTTTAGAAGTCTCAGTGCATTTTATTCTCATGGGTGTGCTAAAAGAAGAGTTCTCGTGGTTTACTGCGTGGTGCCCAGAACAATCCCAGTTGCTGTGGACAGGGAGTATGCCTTGCCAGATTCTGGATCTGTGCTCTGTGCATGTGTGAACAGATCTTTTGGATGCAAACCCTTTTGTGGTCCTATCAGTGTCTGATAACTGCAGAGTAGAGAGCATGGGCTGCATCCAGCACAGCAACCAATAAAAGCAGTATAGCTGCTTCTCCAACAAGTCCCCAAAACACTATTTTTCCCAGATTCTGAGATCTGATTACCGGACTGAAATCCATTACCATTAAGGAACGTATTTATCACCTCAGAGAACTACTTCAAACTTCTCTGAAGCCCTTCTGCTCAAGCACAAAAGCAAAGTGAGACAAGAGTGGATGTTGTAGGTGGAGGGAGGTCTGATCTGAGAGGAGCAGTTGTTTGCTACCTCTGAGTTTGGTCCTGAGGAAGTTTTTAAAACATGCCTAACTACACCTAGGAATAGGCCAGCTCATTATGCTCAGCTGGGAGCACAACTTTTGTACCTAATCAGAAAGCAGTACAGCTGCAAAAGGCAGACATCTTGTGTTCACAGTCAGTAAAGATACTAACTAATCTGTACTGGTATCTTCTCTCAGCTAGCACCTACAGGCAGTGCTTCTCTGCTCAACTCCATGACATTTATCCAGAACCCAGTAGAGGTCTGTAACCAGGTGTTCACCCTGATTGAGAATCTTACCTCCCAGATACGAAAACGTCTGGAAGACCCAAAATCTGCAGGTGAGCATCAGAACCGGAAAGCAGATTCATTTATTATTACATCTTCAGAGCTCCCAAACACCACTATGGTTTATGTTTGTCTGTAGCAAAGAAATTCTAAAGTGAAATTCTGTATGTGCTATTGATGTAGAAGGCTCTTATTCCACTTTCAACTACTGTTAGAGCTGTAACGTAAAGGAAATGATATGTGCATCTTGGGTTTAGAGTGAATGTAAATAGCAGCAGTATAGCCTGGAGAAGTATGTCTGATTTTTTCAAGCATTTCCTGGAGGGAGCTCAAGACTGTAAACAGCAAGTTTTTCAGTCATGATTTGCTCATCTCTAAGAACTTTCCTAATAACAGTGCAGAGGTTTTAAAAAGGCATCTGTGGGACATTTCACACAATCTATGGCAGACATAAACCAATAGGCAAACAGTTGCACTTTTCTCAAGTATTTTGGAAGTAGCTTATTGCTGCAGGTTAAAACTCCGTGCAGCCGATCCAGTGGCTTTTCCAGTCTAGGATTCCCATGGGTGACATAATAATCAGAGCCCTTCTGTGCTGGGAGAAGTCAGTCATAGCTGTCACTTGAAATCTACACAGAAGTAGTGAGGATGTGAATGTGGTTTGGTGTTCTTTGCTGTTTAGACCTGCAGCTGTACCACAGTGAGACTTTAGAACTGATGCTGCAACGCTGGAGTAAGCTGGAACGAGATTTCCGCATGAAGAATGGGCGTTACGACATCAGCAAGATCCCTGATATCTACGACTGCATCAAGTATGATGTACAGCACAACTGTGCACTGAAACTGGAAGGCACAGCTGAACTCTTCAAACTCTCCAAAGCCCTGGCAGATGTGATCATACCCCAGGTATAGCCTGTCCTGCCAGTGTGACGATGTCTGTGGTGTCAGTTTCTGACCCTTTCCCTGTCTGTTTTTTCTTGATTCTTTTGCACGTTAACTCTCAAGGCAGCATATCACAGGTATTTCTCAGATATATCTCTCAGTGTTTGTATAAGCCTGCAACCATTTATGACTTAAGGTGTGGTAGGGCTGGCTTCCTGGATGAGGATTCTGACAGTGTCAGAATAATGAACAGCTGATGCAGCAGCTTTTCCATGTTCATCGTAGTGCATTATAGCACAGCTTCGAGTTGAGTGCGTGTGCTGTAGCAACACCCCATTCTCCACATACAAGATTGTACAGGGAAAGAGAGATTTCTGTGTTAAAGTGAAGGCTTGTTCTGGCAAGTTTGTTATTCTTGTCAAACTGGAACTTGTGCAGTTTCTGAAGTTGGCTTGCTTCTCACAAAGTTTATGCCCATGAACATGGGAGGGGAAAGGAGGGCCACATGCAATGGATCTCTGTAGTCACTGTTGTTCTGTCCCACTTCTGGCAGAACATCCTTCGTTTATATGGGATGAACTTCTACCAGCAAGGTCCAATTGCACTTGTGCCCGTGTAGAGCAGAAGTGGTCTTCTAAACTTTTTCACAGTGTTCTTCATGAGATATAGTTTGGCTATTTCCAGCATAGCACTTCAAGTTTTATCTTTGCAAGTAGCAGTTGTTGCATTAATGCTCATGCCAGGTCAGGGTATAAGTTTGTGTGTCATGAGAGGAGGGTCCCTGGCGGTACTTGCACCTCTCAACTGTTGGAAGAGTACTGACAGTCATGTCTAGACAGATTGGGATTCTTGGAGGAGTCTCTGTCCTCTGTCACCATCTGCAGTATGTGCAAAAAAGAGAAGAGTGACGTTTCCCTTTCTGTCCTTGTTTCTTGTCCTGTAGTGGTGCTTGTGGACAGACCTGTTGAAGTCCAGCCTCCTTTCATGTGAGGATGTGGCAAAGAACCAGGGCTCAGGGGTATCTATTGTTTTGTTCCTGCAGGAATATGGGATTAATAAGGAGGAGAAACTGGAGATTGCTATTGGCTTTTGTCTTCCTCTCATTAAAAAGATCCAGTTGGACCTACAGAGAACCCATGAAGATGAATCTGTCAACAAACTACATCCCTTGTAAGGATTGTGCTGCATGCTGCTGCTGGTGGGGAGGGCAGCTTTGGAGCAGCCTGTGGGAACCACGCCAGAAGAGTGTACTGGTGTGGAAGGAGGCACTGAACATACGTTGAAGGACACACCAAGAGGGAGATGTGTTCGTGCTCCTAGAACTAGAAGGGAAATGGAAAGGCGCATTGAGCATGGTGCCACAGAAGCTTAAACCCATTGTAACTGGATGGTGGTGCCTTCATCCCTGTCTCTACAAGGGGCAAGTGCTGGTATGATGAGGCCACCTCTGCCCCACCATGTGTCTCCATTAGGATACCATAAAACTTGCCGCTTCTGTGTCCAGTGCTCTCACTGTTCTGTTCCTGCTGCTCTTTGACAGTTCCCAGTGCGGCGTTGTCTTATTCCATTAAGTGTGCAGAAATGCTGCTGTGTGGCAATTCATTGGCAGGCTGTGAGTAACACTGGGCTGATTTTGGTTTAGGTACTCAAGAGGAGTTCTGTCACCAGGTCGCCACGTTCGGACACGGCTCTACTTCACCAGTGAGAGCCATGTGCATTCTCTGCTCAGTATCTTCCGCTATGGGGGCCTCCTGGATGTAAGTGTCCCAGCAATGCTGACAGAGTAAGCCTCCCTGCTTTTTTTCAGTGGCCCTTTCCAAGGTGGACAGTGTATGTTTGTAGGTTGCCCCTCTAGCCAGCTCCCCCAGTAATGACGTGCATCAGTGGCCTCTGGCCAACTCCATCTCTGCTGTGTCTGCATGCTGCAGCTTCGTGCCTTTCTGGCATGTAGGAGGATTGTTCTTCCTCAGTCCTGACACTGCCTGCCTTGCTTGTATGGAGGCATGTTTTCTCCGAGAGCTGTCCTGCTGGTTTTGGATGAGTAGACCACTTAACCTGTGTAGGAGGATAGCAATATAAGGCAATGGGAATGAGGGATTTTCTCTCTTCCTGCTTCCTTCAATCCTGTATTTCAAGAGCTTGGCCCTGTTATTTAGTGACTTTCTGTCAATTCTAAGTCAAGAAAATCAGTTTGCTTAGAGAGGATGTGGCTTGAGGTTGCAAATGCATAGGGGGTGCTCTCTACCAGAGGGACAGATGCATGTTTTTAGGGGTCTAACTCATCCAATCCAACCTTCACTTGCTTTCATAACCTGCTTACTGAAGGAATTGGCGTCACCCTGAGAAAAGCTCTGCTTTAGAGTCCTTGAGAGGCTCTCTGATTTATCTTCCCATTTTTAAGCATGGTGTCTTGAAATGCCTTCAGAGTTTGGGCTTACTTAGCAGGTGTGATTTCTGATGTCTGTGGAAGCTCAATGTATCTGCAGGCAGTGATCATGCAAGTACCTCTGAACTGCTCACTGAATAAGATGCTACTTTATTCCCCGACTTGAGTGTCAGAGGATGCTGTGTTGCCAGCACAGGGATGTTAGGCTGCATCTGGGTTCATTTGTACCTGTGGGGTTCATTTCACGTCCATCAAGGTGGCGAGCTGCTCCACAGCAGCGTGAATGGTACTTCAGGTATGGCCGTTCCCTAGCAGTGTTGGGAAACAATGAGGGGTGGGCTTCCCTGCCTTGTGGAGCCCAAGGGTCCAGCAGGGCTCTGTAGACTTTTCATTCAGCATCATGTAAAAGCAGCTTCACTTGGTCCCTTATTTAGCACAAGTTCATCCCTTGTGCTTTTTTTGAGATTTCTCTAAAATACTCTGTTCTGTAGGCCACTATTTGAGAACGACTGTGTTTGGGAACCTGCTGTGGGTTATGCTTTTCTCCAGACAGCATGGCGTAGGGGCTTGCAGCTGGATGTGCTCAGAACTGCACGTGGATTGTATGGGTAGCTGTAGTGTCCCTCTATGCAGTTGCTCCTTACTTTAAGCACCCCACCCTCATTGCAAGGTCATTTCTCTTCATGCAAGTTAAGCAAGGTGTTTTTTGTCCTGACAATGTTGTTATCTTGTGGAGAGACAAACTCTCTCAGACCCATTTCACTGAATGTTGCAAGGTGTCTGCTGTTGCTTATTCCATGCGACTGTTTATGTGTATATATCAGGAAAACAAAGACCAGCAGTGGAAGAGAGCCATGGACTATTTGAGTGCTATCTCAGAGCTGAACTACATGACCCAGATTGTTATCATGCTCTACGAGGACAACAACAAGGTGAGGGATATAGCTGTAGGATAAAATCCTTCCTGCCATGATGAAAGGCACAGTCCCTGAGAGATGAGTTCAACTGGGAAGTCTGTAACCTGAGCTCTCTCCGCTTGTGAATAAAGATGGATGGATCATTAACACAACTGATAGTTTTTATTTTTAGGTGGGAGGCAGTGACCCAGTTAATGCTAGTTACTTGTAAGAAGAATGCTACCCTGAGCAGTAATACCAAACTTAAGTAATCAATACTATCTATTTTAAAGCATTTCCTAAAGCAATATAATTTTCTGTCTCTTAATATTAATTACAAATGAAGAGTAGGAAAAAATAAACAAACACAAATGATATTTGGCAGTTTTTTCCAAATATTTCTAGAAAATACTCAGACATTCCACATTTCTAAACTTTTTTTTATTGTAAAAATATACAGATATAGTTAGGGAAGTATATATTGATATCTTCAGGAAGAGAATGATTTAAAAAACAGCCAGAATGTGGAAGCTGATGGTGATGACCATAAGTAGTTTTGGCACCAAATTGCACGTACTGAATCCCAGGTTCTTTGACTCAGGTACTGTACTGTAGGAGGTTGTAGTGGGCGAGGGGAGCAGTCCCTTTGCTCCATATGCTATAGAATTAGAATCTGCTGTTCACAGAGCTGATGTGGGGTTCTAATGGTAGAAGTGAAATATTTCTCAGTGCTGTTTGTCAAAAAAGCCCCAAAAAGTCTTAGGAGTGGTGTAAATCTGTTAATAAGTAGAGATGGTGAAACTTTTGGTTTTACATCATTGATGCCAGATACTGTAAAAGCTCTGGCTTCCTTTAAAAAAAAATAAACTAATATTAGAGACAGTTACTTAAATCTTGGAACAACCTGACTAAAGGTTCAGGAGGGAACCAGTCTCTCCCTGCCCCAGTGTGTGCTGGTTTTGCAACAGGAGTGGATCAGAAGGGGCTATGTTTTAGGTTTGTGTGTATATATATATATATACACACACACATAGCCTGATTCTGTTTTGGTCCTCTGGTGGCTGTTGTCACAAAATAACAACAATCTGAATGCCTCAGCTTTGTGCTAATAAGGGCTGTCCTTTTGGATGAGACAAACCTAGAGCCATTATGTTTGTGGTTTCTTGTTGCTTCCGCTTTCCTTCCAAAAGGATGCGCTTGGGATGCGTGCTGTGCCGGCATGGCAGGGTGGCCCAGGTCAGACCATGACCTATGCTGACAGTGGGACTGATTTTTATTTATTTACTTATTCCTGTGGCTCTTGTTCACAGGACCCGTCTTCAGAAGAGCGTTTCCATGTGGAGCTGCATTTCAGCCCTGGCGTGAAAGGCTGTGAGGAAGACAGAAACGTGCCCACAGGGTTTGGCTTTCGGCCTGCCTCCGCAGAGGTGAGCACCCTGCCTGGGCGCAGGCTGCCCTGCCTGCTGGGGATGTGGCCAGCGTGGGGCCCTCAGGCACCTTGCTGCTCTATCAGGCTCTGCAGCTGTCCAGTCTCCAGCAGCAAATTTTCCTCTGACCCTTCTCTCGTGCCCGCGAGCTGTTAGCAGGTTACGTTCCCTGCCGAACTCCCAGGTTTTGTCAGGGCTGGTATCCTCCTGAGCTCAGCAGAGCTGGGAGGTCCGAGGTGGGAGTCAGTGCCTGGGCAGCACTTGCGAAGGCCGCGTGCCTATAGGTGTCAATGTTTCCTTTCTGCAGAACGAGGACAAGAAAGCTGACCAAGGCAGCCTGGAGGACCTCTCCAAAGAGAAGGGTGTAGATGAGCCAGACCGCGCACAGCAAAGGTCTCCACAGCCTTCTGAGCCTGTCAGCATTCAGCGAAGATCACCGCTGATCAGGAACCGGAAAACAGGGTCCATGGAGGTAACAATGCAATGGGTGCCCTTGCTTGTTCTAATGAAGGTCTTTTGCTTGGTTTTGGTTTCCTGGCATTCCTTTTAATGTGCCAGAGTTTGAGTTGATTCTGGGAAAGGATCTGCAGAAGTTAAAGAGGGATTTTTTGGAAGGCAGACCTCCCAGACTCCTCCTCATTGAGGAAGGACATGGGCAACACAGGTCAGAGGAACTGATGAGGAAGAGCAAGTAAGGAAATGCTTGAGAAACACAAGAATTATTTGGATTACATGCTCTGTAGAGGCATCAGTGCAACCAGCTACAAGATTGCATGCAACCTCTTCACCTAGCCATGATGACATCTTTGCCTTCCCTTAGATTCTAGCCTTTGCCTCTCACAGTTCAGCTCCACATTTCTTGTTCCTGTCTCCCATCTAAGATCTCATGCAAATCCCAGTTCCCTGCTAACTGGTGGGTTTATTACAGAGTGTTTAAACTCTCAGGGTTTAGAACTGTCCCATTCACTGATCTGCTAATGTAACAAAGATTGATTTTACTGTTCTTACTTCTCTCCTTTAGGGCTGTTATGTGTCATAAGGCTAGATTCAGTCAGCAGGTAGCTGGCACCTTCAAAGTGCTCTAGAATTGTCCCTTCTTTTGGAGGGGTTTCATAGGCATTTTTGCTGTTTTCTGAACCAGTGAAAGCAGAGAGTTAGGGCTTGAGGTATTTGTTAGCTGGCTTCCATATCTGTGTCACTTATGGCATAATCTTTGTGTGCAGCACTCGGGGGCTGTTTGTAACAGGCACATACTAAGTTAAAGGGGGTATACTTTCCTGCTGCTAAAGAAGGAAATCCATGTGATCCCAGCAAGAGTCCTGGGAGACAAGGAGCTCAGTACATGAGTTCCTTCATACTTTTGAGATCTCCATTGTTCCACAATCCAACACAAACTTGAAATTAAAAATTGAGCATGCACTCTCACAATCTTAGCGTTATGCTTCTTGAAAATGGTGATTTTAAGGAAGAGACGTACTTTTCTTTACCTTCAATTGATGTATAAAGGCATTTGAGACCAGTGGGTAACTTGGAGCACAACACTGATTATACTATCTGTCTTTGCAGGTGCTATCTGAATCTTCTTCCAAATCAGGAGGTTATCGCCTCTTCAGCACTTATTCCAGGCAATCTTCTGAGATGAAGCAAAGTGGCTTAGGTACTGTACTTGACCTGTAACCAGCCTGCTCACCTGTACCTCTGTATTTCTGTGGGTATCTGTCTGTCTCTCCACATGTACACCTGGCTTAAGTTCCTTGTATGTCTCTCTGTTTGTATTATGTCTTCTTTTAGTGTTACTGTTTAGACCACTGTAGAGACTGTCTTATTGTATCTCCTTTTGTGTATGATCTTCTCCTTCAGCTTCTAGTAACAGAAGATGCACTGTTCATCCTTTATAGTATGGGAGCAACAGAGCAAGCTGTGTACTTGCAGGCTGGCCTTCTGGTTCCATGTTGCTACCATATGTTATACCATTTCTGAACTTAGTAGGAAGAGATGATTTTACATGAGAACTAGTGTGCTTTCTGTTCTGCAAAACAGTAGTTTACATGCAAAGCTGCTCTTCATGTAAGACTATTATATTTCTACCTTTGCTTCATAAAGATCTCTCGTATGGAACAGATCATGTCATCTGCTGTGGTGTTTGACAGCTCTCTAATTGAGCTGGAATCCCTGGTTAGCCATTCTTTGCATGGTAGCCAGCAGAAGAGAATATTTTGGGGCACTTGGTGTTCTCTGCCTGTCCTTGAGAGTACCATTCTCTGCCATCCTAATCTAAACTATGTCTTAATAGTTGAAATTCTTCCTGAAATAGTTTTGCTAAAGCAAGATCTATTTGGAAACTGAAAAGCTGTCTTTGCTGTCATGAGGTTCAAAGATAGCTGTGAAACCTAGATCTTGCAGATGACTAATAAGCACCAGGAGGTGGAAATGCCTAAGTTATGCCCACTTTCTTTTTCTTTAAAACCATTTTTGCATTATGGCATGGCCGTAGACTTGCAGCAGTTCTGACTCATCAGTTCTTTACTCTGTTATGTGGACATCCTGCAGCCAAGAGATTTCTGAAAGGCCTGATCATTTCTTCGTCACTTTTGAATGAGGTGTTTCTTTGGAAGCTAATTCTTACCAAGTAAAGGGAATTTTCTTCAGAGTGGTTAGGAAGTATCCCTGGAGTCTGCCAGTTATGCTCCCAGCCAATTGGAAAAATCTAAGAAGGAATGGCTGATGCATATTATTTTCATAAAGGCACAATAGCCTTGGCCACAGTGGTTTCTGAATGTGCTATTTCATGTGGTGCATCTACTTCTGCCTTTCACAGACCACCTGCAGGATTAAGTAAGCTGTAATAGACTGCCTTGCTTAGGCTTGAGGAAACCTGTGGTTATTCTGTGAATCCATGTGAATCAATATGAGAATTTCTGAGATGGCACACAGTCAAGGAAGTGCATCTGTTTGGAGAATTACTGAGTACATCAAATGCTACAAGCAAACTATCTTTATTGTTTGGATGTCTGAGTACCAGAAGGCATGTGCTCTGGAAAGCAGATGTTACAGCCTATTTACTACAGCCTTTTCCAGGTTTCTGAGGAATGTCTGTTTTGGCAATAGAGAAGACTACTACTCTACAGGACCCTTGTAAAGTACTACTTTTCCTTGACAACAAAATTTGAAATGCAGTCCCAGCAGGTTTAATTTCAGGTTCTTGCCTGACTGACTTTGCTGGGAAGCCTGTGCTTGTCACTCTCTCAACTGTGAAGCTCTGCAGAGACAAAACTTTGAGTAGGAATTGATAGACCTGATCTGTGACAGTAGACCTCTAGCTAGATACTCAGTCCAACCATCATTCTTCTCTATTGGGTCTTGCAGCTGCAGGCACAGAAGGCTTGAGCAGGAGAGACCTGTGGTGCAACACCAGCTTGCACAATCCCTGGTTATCAGGATGTCTGTGTTGCTATGAATTTCTCTTAACCCGAGAACTGTTAAGAAGAATGATGCCTCTTTACCTGTAAAAGTCAAGCTCTTCAAGGAATCTTGTTGATTCCTTTCCTGCTTGTTTTGTAGAAATCTATTTTCTTCCCCCTTTAGGACCTGAAATGTGCTCTCTTTGTGAGAAATAATATGGAACTCACAGGAGCTTGAACTTTGACTTTAATACTTGTCTCAGCAGCTATGCTGTGAGGGGGGTCATTCAGATACTACCTGCTGTTTCTAAGCTTTTCTGAAGTTGAGCCTGTCACCTGTTGCCTGATCTTGTCAGTGGCTCGCTCTCGTTATCGTTGGGAGAATGGATCCTCTGGGAGAATGTCTGTTCAGGTATAACCTCTTATGTTTAAGGATGCAGGAATGGGGAGCAGCACAGAGCTCCTATAATAACCCTGCTGCTATACCTGCCAGAATTGTGTCTTTACTGTAATTTAATGTCTGTTTGGAAAAGGGGCGGGCTGCAGCTTGCTTTGTGTATGTGAAGTGGTGCTTTGGGGTGTGCTATGTTTTTCTGGGCAGGAGCAAGTGCATTATTGTGGATTGTCTGCAATTGTGTGTATGCTTCTAGCTTGAGAAGCCTAGGGAAATTTCAGTGGCTTGCTTTGCTTGCAAGAACACTTCAAAATGGGGTAAAATCCTGCTGTTTCAGCAACAGAGGTGGTATACTGCCAGTGGGCCTGAAGCGTTGTGCTGAGACTCCCATAGGGAAATAAGGGATGTCCATTTTTAATATATCTGAAACATTGAATGTACATCTGAAAATTTAATACACAAAAAAGATCCAGCACATACAGTAATTTCTAGCAAATGTTGCTACATCTTAAATCCAAATGGCTAGTATACCATTATGTTCTTTAGGATGCGTGTGTGTGCGTAACTTTGCCTAGAGTTCACTGTAGACAATTGCTGTCATCCATAGAGTCACCTTTGTAAATTCTCTTCTGGCTTAAGGGTGCTAACAAAATGCCTCTGTCTACTGTAGGATGGCAGAAACACTGGGGTATCCTTAGTGGCATGAGGTTGCTTAAGATAGAAAGTCACTAAAATCTTCTGTTCCATTTTTATCTGCCAGTAAATTAGTCTGTTGGGGCTTTTTTTGTTTTTTGTTTGTTTGTTTGTTTGTTTTTTTAAGCCATGGGAGGATGATTAGGAGCATCATCCTGGCTGCTGCTTGACAAAATTTTGTTTGCATTCCGACAGATTCTGGCTCATGTTGAGTCAGCACTGAGCTTCAATTTAAGGCATTAGGAGAAAATTTTCTAAGGCTTGTGTATCAGTCACCCTGCAGGCAAGAGTTCTTTGCCTGTTTGTCCAAGGACACATATGTGCTAGTCCGCCCTGTGGAAAGCTACCAGCAGTGTCACAGTGGTGGAATAGCTTAAGCTCTGTGCATAAGAGAAGCTTTTTGGTCATCAACCACTGTTCTCAGGAGCAGATGTCAGCTTAGACTGAGCTTACATGTGAATAGCTCAAAACTCAGGATCTGTGTGCTTTCTTCAAAGAAGCTCTGGCTAAAAAGGAGCTTTGCAGAGAAAGAGTGGGGGTTTTGAAGAGCAATGAGTGGACATGAGGCAGCAGTGTGTCCTTACACCAAAGAAGGCCAACGGCATGCTTTCCTGGATTAGCAGGAGTACAGCTGTCAGGCTGAGGGATTTGGTTCTTTCTCTCTTTTCACCTCTTGTGAGACTGCATCTAAAGTACTGCCATCCTGTCCTGGGCTCCCTAGTGCAAGAAGAGTGTGGATGTAGTGGATGTAAGCCCATTAAGGGCAGTGGAGGTGGATGACGGCTGGAGCACACGACCTTGGAGGAGAAGCTGAGAGAGCAGGGCTTGTTCACATCAGAAGCTGTGGGGAGTTGAGACCTTAATGCTGTTCAGCCACCTAAATGGGAGGTTACAGAGAAGACGGAGGCAGACTGTCCTCCGTGGTGTGTGGTGATAGGATGAGAGTCCAACAGACACAAGTTGCAGCATGGGAAATTCCAATTATCTAGGAAGAACAAATTTTTCACCATGAATGTGCCAGATATTGGAACAGGGGCCCAGAGAAGTTCCGAAATCTCCTTTCTTGGAGGTATTCAAAACTTGACTGGACAAACCCTAGCAAGCTGATCCAAGTTGGCCCTGCTGGGGTGTTGGGAAAGAAGCCTCCAGAGGTTCTTTCCAACCTAAATCATGCTATGATGCTGTTTTAGAATCAAGAGCTGTTTGCAATATAGGCAGGATCTTTTTAACAGTAACAGTTGCACTGTTCCAGTTAAATACTAAGAGGCATTATGTCAGTTTTTTTGCCTTGGCAGACAAGGTGGAACAAGATCAACCTGCTTGTTTCTGGAAGCCTTTTGTATGTGGGAGTAATGTTGTTTTTAGCAGTTGGTATTCTCAGTACAGAATGCAGCATCAAGATGGTTTAGCAGAGAATTTATGGCTAATCAGTGGCTTTGTCTGGCCCATAATAAGGTTTTGTCTCACTCACAATTGCTTTCCTCAGTTGAAAGAATCCTGTTTCAAATGCCTGATGTTCCCTAAATATCACATAAAGTCAAGTCACTCTACAGAAGCTGTGCCTTGGAGAAGCAAACACCAGCAGTTGCCAAAGCCACCGGTATTAGGTTGCCCTGCTATGCTTGAGACTGTCTTGCATGCCATATTCCTTGCCATGGGGTAAACAAAGTTCCATGCTGTGTGCACATCTGATGCTTTGCAAGGGTAGTTTGTGGAACAATTGGACCTACTCTGGAGTAGCAAGACATGACCAAGTGGATGTGAAATATCATCTGGGCAGCAGCTTGGGAAAGAAAGCTCTCTGGTCACATTGCTTTCCTTACTGCTTGACAGAGTGATTAATCCACATTTGGTGATAACAGATCAGGCAGTCCTTTCTTCTTCTTGGTGTCCTAAAGAAAAAGGAGCTTTCCAAAGAGAAAGGGCAGAAGAGCAGAGAAATGAAGCCCTGTGACATGAACATCAGTGATTTGGCATCTTGGCTTTTCTGACATGAGTACGTAGATTTGCTGACTAGAGGGTGTCAAGGTGTTTCTCCTAGGTCAGGGCAAGAAAGCCAAATGGAAATAAACCCCTGGACGGAGTTAAGAACTTTCCTGGTGCTGAGTTTCGGGCTACCTGTTGTGCATTTGACACTACTGAATTTAGAATAGGGAATACTGCCTCCCTATGCTCCCTGGCATAATTTTTTTCCCTGAGATTGCCTGCAAAGTAGCCAGTTCATTCCTCATTTTTTGACTAACCCTGCTTTTCTGTAGTTGCATGCAGTGGAGATGTAATACTAACACCTTCCATGCCTTTCCAGGGTCACAATGCACCGGCCTGTTTAGCACCACTGTGCTGGGAGGCTCCTCCAGTGCCCCCAACCTCCAGGACTACGCACGCAGCCATGGCAAAAAGTTTGCCAGCAGCCTGACATACAAAGACGGTATGTGTGTTCCCGATGCAGCAGGTGGTTAATTTGTGGACTTTGGTGTCTCAGGATGCTACTGAGGCAAAGGCTTAGACTGCTGAGAAGAATGACAGTTGAATGTGTATATTCGCCGCATCTACAGTAATGCATTTTATCATATCCCAAGAAATTGTGATCCTTGCTAGGACAAGACAGGAGCTGATTTGCAAGGAGTTTTATGCTGATGTATGGTATTTCTGGGGTCTGATTTTGGTCTGACATTTTCATACTACTTGCTGTTGTGGAGGAGGATTTATTGGTCTAGATATTAAATAGGTTTGTCCTGGTATGGAAATCCAGCACATCACATCATCTTGCTTACCTTGGTGATCTTGCTGATGCTAAACAAAGCTTTTGTGGAGACAGTAATCCTCGCCCTACAGAAGATGGAGCTGTCCCAAAGGCAGAGAGATATGCTTGGAGGTGGATAAGATGGATATTAGAGTAAGGTTGGGCACACAGAAGAGTCCAAGGTAGCTGTCAGAAAGCAAGTGTAATATGCCTGAAGTGCTTGAGGTAAGTGGGATACTTGGATGAAATACTGCAAAAGGACCAGAAAGTCCAGTTATTGTGCAGTTCTGCAGAAACTGCCTTAAAGTTCAGCAAGATGATCTGGTAAAATGTATTTGGGTCATTAGTATAAATGTTGCCTGATGCACATGGGTGAAGGGGTGTTGCCAGCTGCGGCTTGTTCTGCGGTTTGTACTAGTGCATTATATGCGTTGAGAAGCAGGGACTGTGTTGCTACTTTCAAGGAAATTGGAGCACAGGGAAAGACTGAGATATCCTGGAGGAGCTGGAGGGGTGTAATGCACAAGTGCAAGTGTCTGTTGTGATTCCGGTAAGAAAGGCACTCAAACTCTGTAAGTACTGATTAACATACCATTTGTTGGAATGCTGAGTTGAGCAGCACTGAACAAACCACTCCGTGGATAGGATCTGCACAGCATGCTGTGCCCTAATTGGAAATCCACCCAATGTTACACAACTTGGGCTTCCCAGCATCTGAATGGATGTAAGATTACCTGTCCTCTCTTTTACTTTTTTATGTTAGTTCTAACAAATGGTATTTTAATTGATACTTTAGAGAGCCTGAGTGCCTTTCTTATTGGGATCATAATGGACACTAGCACTGGTGGATTACAAAGTAGGGAAATTATTAAGGCAGTAATTTTGGGCCTTTGGGGAAAACAGGAGGTTGATTTGTTTGGATTTTTGTCCAGTTTTAAGGCAAGGAGAATGGCCTAGCAAATCAGGGTGGAAAGATGCTATCCAATTCTCAGACCTCTTGGAACCTCATGAATGCTGTTGTATTGAGACCATTATGTATACTGGCTTTCTGTGCTGCTTTTCACTGTTTAAGAGAAAACTGTGTTGCTTCTTACCTCTTCAGGCAGCTCCCTAGTGCACAACAGGCTGTGAGTGATAGAGACAGGGAGGGTGAACTGGGAGGATTTTAAACCCTGCTGTACCAGTCTGAGCTGCTCGAGGCAGCAAGTGCTGGATACTCATAGTCCCAGAATAAGCTCATGGTGTTTGGCACAAGACTGGGGCATAAATACCAGAAGAGCCACTGAAAAGGCCAGCAAGGGCTCTGGCTGCTTTTCTTCCATAACTCTGTAAGCAGTGTGAATCCAAGGCAGCACTAATTCTCAGCGAAAAGCATCAAAGACTGCTTGCTCTGCACCGAGCTGGGAACAGAACAGATTCTGCTCAGTCCTGGTGCTGTGCTGCCTTTCTCTGTAGGCTGTGTAGTAGGAGCGTGCCGGCAGCTGGCTACTCGCATTCAAGGTCCAGAGCCGAGTCCTGCTGCATTAGCCTAAATTCATTGACAAGGTCTCTGCGTGCTGAGACGCAGTTGTACCCTCAAGTACTTAAAAGTCAAACTTATTTAAACTAGTGTGTGACTAACACAGCCCAGAATTATTCATCTTGATGTTACACTTCTTTTCTTATGTTTCTTAGTGTGCTATGGCACCCTGTGCTACCAGCGCCTTGCTGCAATAAGAGCAATTGTGAGGAAGAAGTGGGGGGCTTGGAAAAACAAGTAGGAGGCAGAAGTGTCTTTAGCGTCTGGGGAAGGTAGTTTGGAATGTGAAAAAAGCCCTTGATCTGCATGTTCCTGCTTAAATGAGCACCAGTGAAATGCTGAACAATGGCATTTAAACCAAACATCACTAGAGCTGAATACAGTAAGTGACACAGCAGCCTCGTCGAGTACATTTGTATCAAGGGCTTCTTCACGGTCATTGGGCTAATAAAGTTTAAAAACCTTCAGATTCTGGAGCACATCTTTGCATGAATTCTCTGATATTTTTTCATGGTTGTGGTGCTTCAAGGTGTGGCGCATGGCTTATAGCACTTCACCAAAGACTTGCTCAAGTGAAGTTAAAATGGCCCTTCTTTCTGAAGCCTTTTTTGCTTGGGGCTGGAAGAGGACTAAGGAACACTTCAGTGGAAAGTTGTGTCCAACCTCAGGTTGAAGGGAAGTCCACTGATGGTTGTGATTTGAAGTTGGCTTGTCTGAAGCCAGGGATCCAGTAAGCTATGTTGCAGTACCATTTAAATTGATGTGCTGTAAAGGCAAGGGGGAGGTGTGGGGTGGAATGGAGGTGGTTACCAGCTGGCTGACTGCAGCTCCAGGACTTGGACACTTCTAAAGGATTGCATGTGTAGGGAAGATTGTCATGCTCTGTTTGTTGAGTTTAAAGAAAGAAAAACAATTTTTAGGGATGTTATGCTGGTGAAGGAAATTGCAGCAAGTTTGAGAGTTGGTTTAAATATATTATTTGGCCAAGTCAGTGGATGTAGCTAGAGAAGCACAATGGGGGTGTGGAGCATAAATTGATTTGTGTATCTTCTAACCTTGGTGTAGAGGGATAGGCTTAGAGACTCTGTTGACTAGGTACAACGGACACATGAAACATGAAAGAGAAATAAAAACATTTTCCAATATTTCCTAAAAGTTCCTAAATAGCAGCAAAAGATATGATTGGCTGGGATCTCACATCAAATCCTACATACAGATGATCTGATCTAGGCCATTCTTTCCCATGATAGCTGAGGAATTTCCAGAGTGGGAATAAACTAAAGTTTTCAGCTTTTTTTTTGGAGACTAATCCATATCTTTTAAAGCTCATCTGTTTGCACCCTATCAGATGCATAGAATCTGTCCTTGCACTGTCTTTCTGATGTGTGATTTCTATGGGAGAGCTTGGCCTGGCCTGGGATGTGGCCAGGAGAAGCCTGAGGACCACTCTGACAGGAGTATCCCAAAACCTCTTCTGTACTGAAATGCTTTGAGCAACAGAACTGTAGAGGCATGTCTTCATGGGTCTTCTGTTTGTTCCCTAATTAGTTAGTTGTCATACATAGCTCTGTTTAGCTTGCATTAAGATGTTTTGGGCTGCACTTACCTATGCCAGAGCTCTTCAGTTCCACTGCAGAACAGTTGTCATTTTCCTTGGGCAGAGGGGAATCCTGAGAACTATCCTCCTGTGGTGCTGCTGCTTGCTTGGCCATGTGCTCCTGTGGCTGTGAGCATGGCCTAACTGCATCTTGCACTGGCCTGAGCCTGGGTTGCTCTCAGAATGGCTGGAAGTGTGGTGGGAAGGTATGAGATGCTGTCTGTGATTGCAAGAGTGTGGCTGAGGTCTTTGCAGTGTCAGGGGAGACCCTGGCAGGGCAGTGCAAGGGAAGTGGGGAGCTGGCAGAGTGCTAGGAAGCCAAAAGGTTCAGTCAGACCTGCAGGTAGAGCGTGCCCCGGGTGCTACAGCAGTGCCAACAAGAGCATGTGTTATGGGGATCAAGAAGAAGGTGAACCTGAAAGGGTAGTTGCAAGCATATGAAGGTCGGGGGATCCTTAGAAGCAGGCTGTTAACTGAGATGATCTGTTTTTATTTCCTCAGAGCTCTTGTCTATGCCAGCCGTAAAACGATTTTCTGTGTCGTTTGCAAAGCATCCGACTAATGGTACGTTTGCTTCCTTGATTTGACGTTCCCTCACACTTCTAACCCCATGCTCACATTCAGTTCTCTCTGCACATACTCTCCTCTCAGCCTTCTTGTGGTTTTTTTGTGTCTGTGTATCTGGTGTCTAAACATGCTTCACTTTCCCCCATTGTCTTGTTGTGACTAACGTGTTCATTCACCCTTTGTTACTTCTCAGTGGTTCCTCTGCTGTCCCCCAAGGCATTTGTGTCCCAGGTGAAAAAGCAAGAGCAGTGGCTCTGTGAATGGACTCCTAAAGCAGCCTTTAATTCCACTGCTGACATTAAGGCCTTCTTTCATGCTTCCTTTGGGGGGGGGGTGGCGGTCGGAGATAGAATACTGTTGGATTTGTGGGGGTGATATCCACTCCATATCCTAAGAGCATCAGCAGCTTAGGTCCTCAGTTTCTACAATGCAGATTTGCAGGACCAAAACAAGGATAGCCTTAAGGCTACCCATGTGTCACCTGGAAGAGCACAGTCTATGGTGGGAGAGAAGGAGGTGCTAACAGCGTTCCCTCTGTGCCTGGTATTCCTCAGCACAGTCGTTTTAGGAGTACTGGTAACCTCATGGCCTCCTATTTGAAAACTTGTCTGTTAGAGTGGTCCCTTGGTTGCTCCAAGCATGGTGATGTTGGTGGGAGTAGGCTCACCTTTCCTGCAGATGTTATCCTGGGAATGGTGTCTCTCCAGAGCTTTCATTCGTCTGCTGTTGGTGAGCAATGCTGGCATGGGCCTGCCACCTTCCTGAGGTAGGAGGGGATCGGCACCATGCCACCCAGGGTGACGTAACCTGCTTGACGCCTGTCATGCTTGTAGCTATGAAAAGGCTTGGTAAAGAATGTCTGACAGTGCTTCTGTCGACTCTATCTCTGCTTCATATTGCTACTAACCTGACACCTGAACTGTGAGTCTTTTGATGTTAAAGACCACTAGCTCTGTTGTAGCAGATACCTTGAACTAGTGTTTATTATCCAAGTCTTGCACAGAAACTTTTGAAAAGGTTTGTTTCACAGCACCACTCCTACCTCATGGCTCCTGCTGTTGAGATGAGTTATAACCAAAGCAGGTCACTGAAAGATAAAAGGTTAAGTATTTCTGTCTTACGTGATCAAGGCTGCTTCTGCAATCTCGTTGCTTAGTAAATGTGAAGATATTCTGCTCTGCGTGATCTGGAAGATTAAAGAATTTCAGAAGACTGTTATGAAGACCGGAGTTTTGGGAAAGATGAAAGGGGAAAGGGCAGCTAAATGTGGCTTTATCATTTCAAATAACCGAAGGCAACCTATTTTCTGTGTTTGCTTGGTTTTGTTATTCCCCGAGTGACCAACTGCTCAATTTGTTTGTATGTCTGGATACCATCTGAGCTCACGTGGTGTATGTCACCAGAATGTGTCGTTCTATCTTGCCAGCAAAACTTGTACCAAGCACCAGTCTTTCCTAAGCCACACTGTAAAGCAACTGCCCCTGCCTCAAATACAATAAAGTGAAACTGGGCATCAGGTTTTTCCCAAGAACCCAATGAATATTTCTAACAGCAAAGTATTCCTTAATCAAGAAAACAAAGACAGAGGTCCAGCAGGTGTGAGATTGAAGTTAGGCATATTTGGTCTAGGCTTGGCGCTGGTTTTAGCAGGAAGGATGTTTAGCCCCATGAACCACTTGCCTGAGGAGGCAAAAGCTATTCACAGCTCTGAATCTGGATTTTGTTTCTGAAGAGCTGCCTCTATGTGGTGAAATGGGATGGGTGAACCAGACCAGTGGCCAAGCACAGTGTCAGGCCAGATGGTTTATGCCCCAGTCTCATGAATCTTGGGAGTGTGACATGAGTCCTGAGGCTGCATACGTGGAGGAGGAGACATGCCTGCATGCTAGTGTCTTGTCTGCCATGCAAGGATATCACAGAAGATTGCACAGGGCTGTTCTGAGAGTCTAGAGAGGGAAGGTCAGCACTTCTGTGCTCCCTCTGTTCTTCCACGCTCTAAGCACTATGCTCTCAGTCAAACCCTGCTGTCCCCCAGTGTCCCTTTCACAGCTTCTGGTTGTTTGATGCTGGGCCGTTTGCTCTCTTCCATGTGCTGAGGTAGCTGGCTGCATTTGGATGCAGGACTTGAACGCTCTGTTGGCAGTCTGGATTTCTTGTCTCAGCTGGGGGAGGGCGAGTGTGGGCCTGACCTTCTTATCTAGCCAAACCTGAACTGTATTGGACTTGGAACGTGTCCTAAAATTTATTCGCTTGTCAGACTTTCACTTACAAAGATGAAAGCTCGCTGCTCAGGGACTGCCCCTGCAGTGCAGCTGCATTTGGCAAAGGCTGGGCCGGGTGGGAGGCTAGCCTGCTGCAATGTGACTGGGGGTATGTAGATCTAAGGGTATTCCTGACCTGCTTGTGGCGGGAGGGATTGGGCTTCAGTGTGTGGTGTGGGTCTTTCCCACCCAGTGGCCCTGGTGCTGGCAGCTCCCTCCTCACATCTCCACAATTTCTCTATCCCCAGCTGCACCTGCCCCTCTCCTCTCACTCTCTATGGCCCCCTTTCCTCCAGATGCGTTTGAGCACCACCACGTTGCCCAGTTGCTGCGCCGTTTTTCCTCTGACTATGCCACGAGCCGGAACATCTCCCTGGATGCCACTCTAGCCCATCACCTCCAGCAGTGCTCCTACCACCTGCGCCTCTTCAGGAGCTGGCTGATCTCAGGGCAGGATGACTTGGAGTGTCTTTACGGTACTGCACGCTGCAGCTGCCTTGGTTCCATGCTCTCATAGCTGAGCAGGGACCACTGTCTGCTTGAGAATGCAAAGTATGCTTTGCTTCTAAAAAAGGAAAGCATTTCCCTCACCGCATCCCTTAAATCTCTGGGCTGCTGCTGCAGCAAGCTGTGTGGGCTGTTGCACCTGGCAGTTTGGGAGCCTTAGGCAGTAGCCTTTCCACATGGAGCCAGTGCTCTTCGTGTGGCTGTAACTGTGCTCTTTCCATCTTTGGCAATTATTTTTTGCCTCCTTCCTTTAGCTCGGGTAAGCCCTTAAGCTTCCTTCAGGTTAGATGCTGAGTTCCTAGCGGTGTGATGCCCTGCTGACATGATACCCCTGTGCAGGTCTCAGTGGGGTGCTGCAGGGTGTCCCATTATTAATGGAGGAACCAAAGTGAATAGTAAGAATATGGGAAGAAAGAAGATTAAGGAGGTGCTGCAGCTGGTCACGTGCAGAGTGAACTTGCTGTGGAATTTTGGGGAAGTGAGTGCTTGTGGGATTGTGTTGTTTCTAGAGACACCAAGTTAAGATAGGGTAGAAACTGAGCTTCTGTGTGGCTGCATTGCATGGCATCTGTTCTGCCTCTTAGGACTTTTGTTAGCGTGTCGTGTCTCTGGTGGGAAGAGGTAGGCAATTTCAGTATTGAATCTAGATGTTATAAATCAAAACTTGCTACTGTTTCTCTGGTATTTTTCAGCCTCTGGCACAGACGGGAAGTCTGATGCATTGAGGTCTCAGTGCTTCTAAAGCGGGTAGAAAGATTCCTCTCTGAGAGAGGCAGCTAGCTAGGGCTTGCTGTTAATATTTACCTTGCACCATAAAACCTGCTTGGTGCATGTGGCTTGCTGAGCTGTGTGGTGTGATGCATGGACCTCCTTTTTCATTCAGACCCATAGGTGGAAGGGGCAGAGACACTATAGCTTTTTGTGTAGTGAAGCAACAAGATGAAGTGTTTTCAGAGCCTGGAAAATGAGAATTTTTCTTACACAGTCTGTTTTTCTTGATATGGCCCTTTCTGTCAAGTAGGCAATTCGGAGATGGCTGTTGCTTTTCATATATAATTAGGACAATCCTTGGTCTCCTAGCAACAAATACTAACGAGGAGCAAAATTGCTTCAAGGGAAGAGATGCTGGAACACAGCAGACTGCTCCAAAACTAAAGCTGAGCTTCCCCTGCTGCAGATCTCGGCCATCTCCTGTGAGCTCCGGTAGGGAGAGGAAATTAACTCAGTGCTTTGGGCAGTGATACGCCAAACATTGCAGCATGGTGCTGGGTTGTGCAGCCTGCCCTAATGCAGCCAAATGTATGAGTTATGTACCTCAGTGTAGCAGCCTTCCTGTGTGGAAATCAGATCTCTGCAATCAGTGAGGTCTTTCTTGCTGTTTTCTCAGTCTGTCATCAAGCCCACAGTTAATTAGCATGTTTGGGACTCCTGCTGGGGTTCTTCTCAGAGCAGATGTTTCTCCAGTGTCTGTAGCTAACAGCCCAACTTCCCCTGCCTTGTGAAAACTACATACTCGTATCCTCTCTTTCTTGGTTTTCAACTGTACTTCTATCCACACAAAGAAAACATGAATTAAAAGATAGAATCAGGGAGTTAAAAGTATGCAGTTGGCATCTATAGTTGGAAAGATCAACGGTGGAGCCCTGAAGCAATCTGTCTGGGAACCTGTGCTTATCTGTGTTGTCATAGATGGGAAAAAGAAGAGTGTGAAGTAAGTTCATGTTCATAATGAATTACAGTGGTACTGAAGCCAAAGGTCAGCTGTGAGGAAACAGAGAATGGTCCTCTGAGAATGAGTGGGCAATAAAACAGCAGGTGATGTTCAGTGTAAATAAATTTAAATGACAAGGGGAAACAGCCTCAAATTCATATATAAAGTGGTGGGCTCTGATCTGACCATCACTATTTGGGACAATGTGGAAAAGGTAGAAATTTGCAGTCTGGGAGAGATGTTTGTGATAGTGGTCAGAGTGGCCTGGAGAGGGAGTGGTGGGGATCCGCAGTTCAATGTCTGTTCCAGTACAGGAGCTAGGAGGTTTCTAATGGAGTGAGTAGACGCAGCTTCAGACAGAAGTGATTTTTTCCATGCAGAGTGAAACTCCTCACTATGGTACGTAGGGGTGGTAGGAGCTTAACTGAGTTCAAGGGGAGACTGGAGAATATGGAAGAGACACATCAGGCTTAGAGCAGTTCTGAGCCACAGGTCACTGGAGTTTGGGGGACTGCCTGGGGGAAGAGTCACTACGTGCTGTCTAGTCTCATACCCCTTCATTTGTAGCCACTTCTGGCACTGTGGCCAGAGAGGTGCTGAACTAGGATAGACCTTACAGCTGACTGTATGTTGTGGTTTAACCCCAGCCGGCAACTAAGCACCACACAGCCGCTCGCTCACTCCCCCACCCAGTGGGTTGAGGTAAAGACAGTTTTAATAGGACAGAAAAGGAAGAAAATAATAATAATGGTAATAGTAATAAAAATAATAATAATAGTAATAGTAAAAGAATTAGAATATAGAAAACAAGTGATGCACAATGCAATTGCTCAGCACTCGCTGATCGATGCCCAGTCAGTTTCCGAGCAACAGTCCCTGGCCAGCTTTTCCCCCAGTTTATATACTGGGCATGATGTCATACAGTATGGAATATTCCTTTGGTCGGTTTGGGTCAGCTGTTCTGGCTGTATCCCCTGCCAGCTTCTTGTGCACACCCAGCCTCTGCTGGCAGGGCAGTATGAGAAGCTTAGCAACAACTAAAAACATCAGTGTGTTATTAACATTACTCTCATACTAAATGCAAAACACAACACTATACCAGCTACTAGGAAAATGAACTCTATCCCAGCTGAAACCAGGACACTTACATTTAGAAAGGCTGGTTAGTAAAAATCCTACTTCATGCTCATAACCATGTATGCATATATAAACACATACAAATATACATGTGGCATATTGGAGTTCTCCCAACAAAATAAGGCTGGACTGACCAAGCATGTTAGAGAGGAACTTGCTGAGTGTCCTTTCTCCCATGCCCTTCAGAATCTGTGCTGGGACTGGGCAAGTGCTTCTTTGCTCCAGAAGAGTTGGCGTACAGACCTTTCTGGGATGTTGCAGGTACTGTTGGTTTGCCTGTTGCTTTCAGGATCTCCATTAGAAAGGAACAGGCACCCTTTCCACTCCAGTGTAGAGTTCACAACTGGCGAGCTGGGTAGTAGTAACTCAGCAACTTTTGCTAATCACATTGTGTGTAGTAATGTTCAGAACTCTCAGACAAAAATATAATACACAAAAAGGATTGCTTTGGACCAGAAAGACTTCTCACCTGAGTCTTCCTTGGCCTCTGTCTTTGTCTGTTGGCTGACAACAGTTTGGCTGCTTTCTACTTGCCAGCAGCAAGTATGTTCTCTCCTTTAATGAGCCCACTCTGCTAGTAGAGAAGCTTGCCTTATTTGGGACCTCAGCTCAATCTTAGTAAAGCTGAGGAACATGCTATTTGGACTACCTGAAGACTGCTCCTTTGTCGTGCCCACTAGCCAGGAATTCTGCTGGCTCCCAGGTGATCTGCTGAATTACCAGCTCTGAGGGATAATCACACCAACACTGATCTCATTCTGGGGGTAGCATGTGTTCCATATAAACTCAACTTTCCCAACTCATATTACACAGTAAGCTTTCTTCGTGTCTTTATGGAGCGTACATAGAATTTAGGAAACTTTGTGTTACCTTGATTCAAATTAGATGTTTCCTCTTAATGAAATGGTATTGATTTCCTCTTGAGGGTTTAGACTGGGACATCTCCTGCAGTAATCAAGATGCAAATGAATTCAAGGTCTTGTTTTCTCCCTTGTTCTTCCTTTCTCCCAGTATAAAAATCTGCTTATTTTAGTTCTGCTGCTAACACTTTTGGTTGAATTTTCTTTCAGACCTCAGGGTGACTGAAGGAAATATAGCTAAATGGATGAAAGTACCTGTTACATCTGCAGTGAAAGAGCAGTAGGGTAACAGAGCATATAGGGTTCCCTCAGAGATCTGTAATGTATTTCCTTGGCGTTTAAGCCATGTAATCATAAAGTAGGTGTTGGCTATATCAGAATTCATCATTGTGTAGTCCAGGTAAAAAGGTGGCACTTCTTGACTCTTTCTTTGAGGTCATCTGCTAAGAGGTAGTTGTTCACAAGAGTTGTATCTGTGTGTTCCTACTGCCTGCTGGAGTCTCCTAGAAATCTGGGATTCTCTGGTTTTGATGGAAGATGTGAGACAGGTGCAGGTCACCATTTGCTTTATATGGTATAGTGTGCTAGATGATCTCTGCTAACAGGTCCTTATACCCAAGTCACCTTCTTAATACTCTTATGAAGTGTTGTGTGTTGGTACTAGGCAGCTCTGAAACAGTCTTACTCTAAGGGGACAGTCACTCCCTCGAACTTCCTCATAAACTGTGATTACACCAAGTAGACTCTGACAGTATGCACATGCTAAGAACATGAAGCTCTGGGGAGAGAAGAGCTCAAACTGGAACATAGTTAACTCAGCTGTAACGTGAGTGGGCCTTCAGCTTTGGCATCAGCATGCCTGGGGGAGTCAAAACAGGCCTTGTAATCCTCTAGCTGGACCACCTCTGGTGGTCTCACCTGCAGAATGTCTCTTCAGGCAATACCATTCTCTCTGCTGCTGTGTCAGGATGCTGCTGCATTATTGATTCAGAGTGGAGATTCCCCATAGCTGCTCCCCTACATCACATGCAGTCTCCTTGGACAAACAAAATAATACATACTCAGCAGACTCCTCTGCCTTGTGTATCTTAAGGTTTTTCCCATAACCAAATCTTGTTTTCTATACTCTAACAGATGGTTTCTTCCTATTTTACTGAACAAAAATTTTGGAGACATAACCACGCTGTACTCCTTGCCTGGGGAAGATTACAGTTGATTTTGGGATTAATTTTTAGCTGTTCTCGTCTGCAGACCCCCACCACGTGCCTCTCCCTGCAGGGTGGGCCTAACTCTGGAGGAAGCAGATTGCCCTCTGCATGCGTAATGCCGCTAGTGTAGTCAAACCTGAATGAAATGAAAAATGAAACTTGTTCCTTTGTGGGCTGCTGTTTGACTTTGGTACAAAATGAATGGAACTCTGTCTAATTTCTTGTGCCGTTGTCTGCATCACAGACTCCTGCCCTTCAGGCCCCAGGAAAAGTTTCGGGAAGCATCAGCAGTAGCTGAGCAGTCAGCACTGGGTGACTGTCAGGCTGGAAAGGTTCCCATCATTTGCACTCATGCTTTATTTTTATTATCCCTTCCCAAAGATGTCAGTTCTTTGCTAAATGTGTGTGGTGCAGCAGTGGTCAGAGCCTTCACTGGGGACTCTGGCTGCTGCTGTGATACACATAAGGATTACAGTCTCTAGCGGTAACTTCTGCTTGGGCTCTGCTGTGGTGGCATGAAACTGCTGCTGTTGGCCTCTCCCCAGCAGCTAAGCAGGTCAAGGGAGGTGTGCAGGGAAATGGGCTGCCATACACGAATGAGAGGGATTCCTTGAAAATAGTAGTGCTTCACATTGAGAAGGAAAACTTTTGCCTTTTTCTCTACTTGCTTGAGACCCGTTAAGTGACATAGTGCTGAGCAGAGCTGTGCGAGCAGGCATTTGGCATGTTGGGGATATAGGTGTATCATTTCACATCAGTAGCATTGTCAGTGTCACATGTTTCCTTTAATGCTGGACCTTCCATTTCCTCTTTTTATTAGAGGAGTGCCCAAGCACTCAGATCCCCATCAGTGCCTCCGGTGTATCTTGTAACTACATTGCTTTGCCCTATGTTATATTCAAACTTCTTCCCTTTTTCTTTGGGGATCCCAATAGCTGAGCCAACTTTGGCCCCTCTTAAACTAGATTCTGTTGTGAAATGATGTTAGCTTCATACTATGCTGTTTCACAACCACCTCCACATGGCTGTTCGTTAAGTCTTGCCCTCACCCTTTTCCTTTAGCTTTGTCTCCCAGAATGCATATGAGAAGATAATGAACAGATACTCTGCCTTATTCAGCACTTCCACTCTAAGGACTTCTCAGCAAGGGACAGAAGAGTATGGTATTTTTCCTGTGTCTTACAATCCTTCATGCTAGCCAAGGATTTGTTATCCTTCATGTCTTGAATTGATGTTTGTAGGCCCTTTGTGGCATAGGTAACCTCTCTGGACTGTCTGAAGGGTTCTTTATCTCCAGTAGCTGTTATAGCAGTGAATGTCTCTCTGCAGCACTGCAAACTGGTGATGATCTGGTCTGCAGCCTCCTCGTATTGCTTGTGGATTCACTCTAAATACCATCTGCTGGCTCATGCTCCTTGGCTTTTGCAGACCTGGGTTAGGTGAGTGGATTGGAGCAGACTGTCCTGAAGGTGTTTGGAACAATGACTATACTTAGCAGACAGACCAGGTGCTCTAGGTCTTCTCCTTAGGTGCTGTCAAGCTGCAGGGATCAATTTTAGCCTGTCAGTGTGCTGGGCAGCAATCCTGACACAGTAATGCATCAAGAACTGTTGTATGTTTTGCATTTCAAAGTAATTTTCCTTCTCTGTAGGAACAAACCCAATTCCTTCCCAGGGTCTTTTTCAGCTCCTTGAAGGGAACTATGGAGTCACAGAATGGGAAGCCTAAGCTTAAGAAGTTTAGAGGCCTTTAAACTCAAGTGGCACAGAGCAGGAGGAGGCCTTGTTCCCATATGTCCAGAGACTCATTTGTTTTTTCCTTCCTCCTCTGACAGTTTCAGGTTGGCTTGGTTCCACAAAATATTGCCAAGAAGCTTGGATGAAGAGGAAGATGGTTTGCTGTAATACTCCACTGGCTTGAGTAGCAAAGAATTTATTGTGAATGGTTGTGATGCACCTTAGCTCTGAGCTCTGTTAAATGTTGAAATACCTATTTCTACTAATTCTGGGTTTGCTGGCAGTCAAGTCTCATTAAGCAGACAAATAATTCAAACTATTGTCCAGCCCTTCCTTGGGGTACAGTCTGTCAGCCGTACATTGGAGGGTATACTGTGAGAGAGAGAGGTTCTGCCGCTCCCTGCACTTGTAGCAGTGTGCACTACCTCGCTGATGGGGAGAAGGTGGACTGTGTCCCAGGCTGGGATGTCACTAGTGGTGGGGGTCCTTTTATGGAAATTCTGTTGACTTCACTCAAATTCTGTTTAGCTTCTGTAAAGTGTAGGCACTGTGCCAAGTTCTCCATCATAACCATATATTTTAGCAAGAGGGTCACAGGCTTTGCAGCAAACATGGCTGCTGCTAGATACATTTCCTCCTCTTCCCCCTCCTTCTGCGTGTGCCCGGACGCTTGCTTTCAGGTCTGTTATTGCATGTGATTGCCTAGTGGCGATTTTCTTGGCCTAGAAAAGGTGACCTTAGGCCTGAGTGTTTGATTCCCAGACTGCCCAGCTCCTTCAGCCATGAGTGGTCCTGCATGGATTTAGGTTGCTGTTTGCTCTATTCATTTTCTGATTGGGTTTCTTTCCAGGTTTTGAAGGCTGTTCCATGGTTCCCACCATTTATCCCCTGGAGACCCTGCACAACTCCCTCTCTTTGCGACAGGTCAATGAGTTCCTGACGGCTGTGTGCAGGAGTTGCAGCGAATCACATGTCCAGTCTACCGCAGGTACTGGTGAGGTGGGCTTGTCTCTGGGTAAGCCAGAACAGAGTCAAGGCAAGAACTTTTGCTCTTTTACATTATCAGGACAGATCAGCCTGACAGGACTGGCAATAAGTGCAGTCTCTGAAACCTGTTCCAGGGTGTTCTAGCCCAAGAGTGAGCTATGGGATCTAGCTCAGAGCCATCCTAGGCCACTTACTTGAGAGAGAAGTAATTGGTCAGGTCTGTCTGTAGCTGATAAGTATGGTGATGTGGATACAAACTCCAGTTTGGGAAATCTTAGCCTCAGATTCCCAGGAGCTGATGGACAGGCATGGCTCTGAATTTGCACTGTTCTTGAGCTCTTCCCGGAGTGCCTGCTCATGGCTGCTGGGCTGCGAGCCATTCCTTTATGTCTGTCTGAATATTACTGATCTGTGTATTTTTTTTTCTTGAAGCTTTGTTTGATTCAATGATTGGCAGCCAGATACCAGGAGACCCCTTTATGTCCCAGAGAATCCTGTCATCATCCTCTTTGCCATTGCGCCAGCGTTCGGATAAGCCCCCTTGGTGTGAGTGTGCTCCTTTCTTGATCAGGGGTGAATGTGATGGTGAGGGAGGGAATTAAAGAGTGCTAAATGGTGGAAGCCAAGTATTCATGCTTAGGGTTTCTATGCTTTGCCCTTGAAGGAAGAGAAACAGAAAGGGGAAATAGGTAAAAGGGAAAGTAGTCATATGCCCTGTGAAAAAGCTTCCAAAGAAAGATGCAAGAAGGGACTCTCTGTAGTGTTGTATATCATGGGGACATCTGCTGTAGGATGGATGTTGTCTCTCCAGACATCCTTGGCTTTGTGCACTAGGACATGGAGGGCCTGAATGCACTTCATTTTCATCTCAAGTTTTGTGATTCTCCATGACACATGGCCAACTCAGTGTTGGCATGTGGAAATGCCTTCTTTTCCTAACCAACCACATACATACCTCACACAGAGCTCCATATAGGACAGCCAATCATTTAGATCTTCACTTACAGGCTTTTCTGCAGCTCCTGGGCCTCACTTGTAGTCTCTGCAGAGCTGATGACTGCTGTTAGTCCCCTTTGCAGATCTGACTTGAACTCAAAGGAAAGAGGGTTAGCCAACAGTTGCACAGCAAGTGCCTTAATGACACAAGTCAAGGTTGCCACTGAAAAAGCAGTCCTACTCTTCTCCTGGCTGTACACTTCTTGTGCCAGGAGTAGTGTGTGTTTGTGTAGGCAGCAAGATCAGGGAACCGATTTGACTGAAAACAGTTGTTTAATGCTTTCCCCTTTACTGGATTAGATATAATCTAGATCTGTTCTCTAGTTTTGCTCATTGTACATATAAGGCAAGAATAAGCATTAGTGGAGAAGCAATATTTCTTCTTCCAGTGGTGACTCTAGCTCAACATTCAGGGCTTGGTTGTATCAGGAACCAAGAGGAGCAAAGTTGAAGCTGAGAGTGTTCCGTAATAATGAGGGATGAAAGAAACTGCTTTTCTGTTCAAAACCCAATATCACACTTTCCATTTCGCTCTGTAATGACAACAGAATTCACTCTTGGCTATATGCCAACATAGCACTGTATGACAAGATGTAATTGTGGTGTTTGTGCTTGGGTTTTCATCAGCTGAACTGCCAGAAACACACCTAAGAGCAGCTGCACGCCCCTGCCAGGTTGCATGACATATAGACGACCCTCACCTATTGGTTGTAGAACTGTGGGACTGTGACAGCTTGGGTCTGCCCAGGCTTTGGGCTGGGGAAATATCAACTAAATGTTTAAGAATTTTCTTCCTCTTTGCAGACAGCAGTGGCCCCTCCAGTACTGTCTCCAGTGCAGGCCCATCCTCCCCAACCTCTGTGGACAACTGCGCTCGTTTCAGCTTCACTGAGAAACTTTCCATCAGTCCCCCCAAAAGTGAGGAGCAGCTGACTAGCCAGTCCCCTGAGCAAGAAGAGAGACAGCCTCCAGGCAGAGGGCTTGATGGGGAGGTGGGCATGTCTGGGTTATCGGTGGCGGAGCCAAGTGCCCCAGAGACCCTGACCTGGAATAAGGGGCCAGAGCCAGGCAAGGTCCTGGAGCTCTGCAAGAAGGAGCTGGTGGAGGAGGACTCTAACCCAGAGGAGAAGAGCAGGGTGGACCTGGATGAAGAAGAATCAGCTGGGGAAATGTTAGAGCCAAGTAACACAGGGAACCCAAAGTGTGGTGCAGGGTCTGATATAAGGCTGGCTGGGGAGAGAGAGAGGCCAGGTGAGGGGTATATAGGGGGAATGACTGGCCTGGATCAGTCAGGGCTGTCCAAGGAGATCTTGGTGCCCCGTGAAGAGGAGCTGCTGGGAGAGGTGTTGGACCCAGAGCATATGGGCGAGGAGCTGCTGGGCGACAGTGCTCTGTCAGGCCAGCTTCTGACTGGTCACCTGCAGCAGGTGCAGCCACTGCCTCCTGAGAAAAGCATGGAGGAGCTGCAGCCGCTGTGTTGGGAGGATCAGCAGAATTAGTGGCTCACTGGACAGCACACTGCAAGCGCTTCTAGCCTGGAGGCAGCCCAGCTTCCTGCACAGCACCTCATGCAGCTGGCTGTCCACAGCACAGAACAAGCCATGTCCCAAGGCCACAGGACTCTGGGGTGTGGAAGAGTCTGCTCTGCTCCTCCACAAGCCAGCTCTTTGCCATTTGGCAAGAGACAATGCCCCATCTGCCTTGTTAAATTAATAACAAATGGAGTCTTGGTACTGGCATGGCACCTCCATGGAGCAGGGACATAGGGCTGCATTGGTGTTCCAAGGGCTGTATGCTCGCTGGGACAGCAGAGTTAGAGGATTGGTATGGCCAAGGCTTTTGGGGTGGTAAGTCAAAAGGGGACAGATGCTCCCTTGAGATTTTTTTGGCCCATAGCCTTCAGAGGAAGGTATTCTGGGCCCAAAGTAATTGGATCCATCACAACCACCAACCTCCTCTCTGTTCCTTCCTTCTTCCTCTCTCAATTCCCACCACTGGCCACCAAGAACAGGTCCAGAGTCCATGGCAGGAAGACTAGGAGAAGCAGAAAGCACTCTGAATGAGTGTGGGAAGGACAGTAATGAGGGGATCAGGTTCAAGACTGCCACATGCAAGAAAACATCTCTTTGATGTGGACTTGGATGTTTTCCTGCTGGGCTGGGGCAGGAAGGCAGGAGCCTGGGGATCCAGCCTGAGAGAGGTGGGCAGGGAGGACACACACGGGTTTTATTCTAGTCCCCAAGGGTCAGGCAGGGTACAGCTCTGAAGTCTTGGTGACAGAAATCAAAAGAAACTGCTATTTGAACAAATCAGGATTATTAGAAACCAATAAGGAGAAATCTTTATTATATATAAAATGAAAAGTATTTAATACATATTTATGTAAATGACTTGTGAGCACAAGCCTGAGGGCAAGATTGACACGGGTGTCCCTGTCGCATCCTGAGTGCAGGCCAGGGCTGTGCCTCCTGCGCCTCCTGTATTTATGGACAAGTCTGCGTGTTTGTCTGTAGCTAGGATCTGTGTTTTTGTGAAGCTGTGCCCAAAGATCTCCACGCTGTGTTGTGATGATGTGTATTCACAGTAAATCTATGCTGTGGGTCTGGTGTCTCTCTGTCTCTGTTGCTGACTTGCGCAGCAGTGTGTGTGTGCCAGAGCTTGCAGGTGCCCGGGACAGCAAGCCCTGCTTGTTTGCTGCTGTCCTGGAAGAGGAACTGCGGCTGAAAGTCACACTGAAGTGAGTGCACAGACACGGGGCTTTGCTCAAGAAGGCCAGACATCTCTTTTTTCCTCCGCAGAAGAACTGGTCATACTGGGGAAATGGTCCTGGCTTCCCAGGTCCCAGGGTGGTTTGCAGTAGAATGAAGATGCTGGGGCAGCATGTTCGGCTCCTTTCACTTGGTCCACACCTTCTCATCAGTTCCAAGTACATCCTGGGTACTGTGTCCTCCTCCTCATGCCTGATAATCCCTAGCTGCCAGTTTGGGTATTTAAGAAAGGTCATGTTTACTTGCACTTGAAATACAGCAGTCGTACAGCTGCCTCGAGTGCAGCACTGTGCTAGGAGGAAGCCTGTCCCCCCTCTTCCTCAGGGCTGTGCTAGCCTGCTCTCCTGAGGATGTGTGCCGGTGCCTGGGAGAAGGGTCTGCCTTGTGCTGTAAGGAAGCTCTCTGGCTTTCATTGGCAATCCTGCATTAAAGACCTGGAAGAACAGATACCCTGGCTGGTGCCTGTTGGGCCGAGGCCACGGGCCTGCAGCCCTCTCCTGCCCCGAGAGCTGGCTGCAGGAATGTGGGAGGCTGAGCGGCACTAGATCCCGCTTGCGCCCCTCAGGCAATGCCCATGTCCCTGATCCCGCCATCCTGCCCACACCCTGCCAGGGTCAGTAGTACGTGGCACCTGCAACCACCAGCACCGCTGCTCCAGCAGCAGGGTCCCTGCCGGACATGAGAGCTGCGCCTCCTGCCAGGATTTGTGCGTTTCTGTCTGGGGGAGGCAGCGCCCACCTCTGCACCCATGGAGCAGAGACCGTGGCCCAGGCCTGGGCAGGGTGGTTGCCCCAATGGACCCAGCATCACCTGCCGCAAGGTGTCATTGCTGAGAGGGGCACGGCTCCTTCAGCGGTGGCACGAGCAAGTCACGGAGCAGGGTCTTGTGGGGTGAGGGCCTGTTTTTCAGGTGCTCGCCCCCACGCAGCGGGGGAGCTCATCGCTTCTAGGGCCCTGGAGCCTGCTGGTAGCCTGGCTTTATGTGTACAAATGCCCGGCAGATCTCCTGCCTGTCTGCTCGCCCTGTGCTGCAAGAAAATGGCCAGGGGCTGCTCTCAGTGCCAGCTGCCCTCCTGCCATACTGCCAAGCAGGGCAGGAGGCAGACTGGACTCTGTGTGCCAGGGGAGCCCAGAGGGCACGTTGTAGTTGGAAGCCCTTATGCCCAGAGAAAGCAGCTACTGGCTGCAGTGTCCCTGTGCTTCCATGGCTTAGCAGGGCAGCACAATGCTGTGGGAGCACCGCCCAAGAGCTGCGGCCGCAGGATGTGCCACGTCATCTGAGTACAAAAGTGGCATTTCTTGCGAGGCTCTGAAGGCCATGTTCTGCAAGAAGGGATGGCTGAGTGCTGCAGTACCTGAATTCCTGGGCAGATTGCTGCCACTCACAAGAACTACTGTTATTTATAATGTTCCCAATCTTCAGCCCATTTCTTCACCTGGAAATGAAAAGGGAATGATGCTTGGGAAGCAGCTAGCAGCTGTGGCTCTGCTGTGGCTCTACAGCTCAGTAAGAGATCGGGCCCAGGAGACAGGCTGGAAGGGTTTTTGTTGTGATGAAAAATACAAACCTCCATATCCCTAAATTGAGAATATTTCTACAAATTCTAAGTAGTGTCTAATTTTGGCTTCTGAATATATATCTTTTGGTTGCTGGAGTCCTCCTCTAGCCATAAATTATCTGTCTGCATTGCTACTTTGCATACTGGTAATTCTGTGAAGTTTTGTTCTCCATATAGTTTGTAGGATCAGAGGGCTTCCTGATACAGGACAGAGTAACAGGGAGACAGCCTGGTCACTTGTGTCCAGTAGTGCTTGTGCTGCAGAAGTAAATGGCCTGAACTCAAAGGCAGATACTATCCCACAGCCAAGAAGAAAGCTGGGCTGCCTGCAGTGGTGCAAGAACCGGCTTCTAGTCTATGCTCTCTTAGATAGGCAGGCCAAGAAGGGACAGTGCCCTTTCTTTTAAAAGAGCTGCTTAATAGCTGCCTCTGTCTAGAAGTTTGAGGTCTTTCCTGATGCTCTAACACTTCCAAATAAACACCTGCAGACTGTGTTGTGAAATCTGAGCACTGACCGACTGCTCTTAGGCAGCATCTTTACCATGTTTTTCTTGGCTTAGCAGCAGCAGTGATTAATCACAAAGCCCTTTCCAAACAGGAGGGTGGTGTAAGGACGTGCTGTGAGTCACAGAGGGAAAAAAGAAAAGGACAATTGCACAATTTCTGGATACAAAGACAGGAGCCCCTATTTTTGGCTTAGTCCTGTCAAAGCCAGTTCTGGCTCCTCAAATCTATGCTGATGCATAAGCTGCACTTTCAAATGCTTTTGGGCTGCATAAGTAGTGATATGGACAAATGACTGCTGCATGGTCCTGCGTCTCTGGCTGGATGTAGCTACAAACTTTGCCTGCAGTAGCTGGGATAGTTTGGATCAGGCTTGTCAAATAGCTGGCAGATGCAGCTAAGCAAAACTCTTTACCTGAATTGTCACTGTATGCAATGAGAAAGCAGTGTAGAGAAATGGGTCCAGGTCGTGTGGCAGAACAGGCAGGAAATACCAACTGTCTATACCAAGTAGCTAGACTATGGCAATGTCTCCTGTAGGCTGTGGAAAGTGACAGGTCCTCTGTTAGTCAGCATGTATGAGCAAAATCCTTGTAGCTGGAGAAACTGCCAGGTTGTACAGCATATGCAGGCTTTGGGCCTTTAGCGTGTCAAGGTCCAGGCAGCCCTGATTGTTTACTTGACCAAACTCAATATTGCTGCTATTGCCTTGGACACTCTGGCTCATCAGTTTGCAAATACTGAAGCAGCTGATTAAGGGAGGGCCATGTCATTGCCTTACTGGGAGTTGTCTTTTTCTTATCTGTTCTTCTGGTTTCTCAGAGCCATGCCATTTCCCCACAAATTGCTAACCCTTATCTCCCCAAGTCCTACGCAGCAAGTGATGGACACAGCTGACCAGTAGAGGACAGCTGGTTTCTGGTTTCTGTCCTTGGTGCGAGAGCTCTATTTCCCCACTCCAGTGGTCCAGGACTGTTGGCTCCAGTGCTGCCCAGCTGATGCCTGCTCAGTTTGCTGGCCATAGGGGAACAATAGGCCCAGGAATTTGAAGGATTGCTGCTTGCATCTTCTTGTTTGAGTTGAGAGAAGTCCAATTTGTCACTGAACTGCAGCCCTGGCAAAGCCAAGGCCTGCTTTGGAGGTCTGAGCTGATCCTGCCCATGGATCATCACTGATGCTTCTATACAGGTCTGATGGGCACCTGAAAGCTTCCCAGCTTCAGCATACTCCTGCTCATTGGTGGAGGAGCATTGCTTCCTCAGGACATGCTTACGTGACTTAGACCACTTCCCTGCATGCTGCTGCTTGTGTTTTCTGCTACAGTAACCTGATTTTGCCTCCCTCCTCCTGCAGAACAGCTTGTAGTAGGTGTGTTCACCACAGCCTGCATGCACCATCTCAACAGCTGGCTGGGGAGCTCTGCTCTGCAGGATGGTGCTGAACAGGTCCTCAGACTCCCAACACTGTACATGTTTGGGAAATGCATGTATGGTCACAGCCTCTCAGTGAAGAGGAGCACAGCCATATCTGTATGCTTGTTTAGCTGGAAAGCTGCTGTGGAAATAGTGCCTGGTTTATGCTAACAGTTTGGGGTTCCTCCCCCGTCAGTAACAGCTTTGGCAGCTGCCCTGAGCTCTCTATTACATGCTGCACAAGCTGTGGTTTGCTTTGTGGTCACCATGGCCCCTCTTCTGAGGGTTGTAGCCCAGTACCTGCTTTCCTTTTCCCTTGCGCTCAACTGTGCCATTATGTTTCCTCCTGACGACACCCAGGCAGGAGCAGAGCTGACTGGGCATCAGCCTCTCCTGACTGCTATCCGGCACAGGCAGGGCAGAGGGCTGCTGTCCCAGTTTTTTGCTGAGTAGCTAAAAGAGCTGAAATAAAGTACTTCCCCTTCCGAGGTCAGTTTGGAGTTCTGCAGAGGTACAAAGGCCCACTGCTGCAATAAGGACAGGCAGCGTGTGATGCCCCATCAGTGCCTGGCTGGCCACAGCCGCTGAGCTGAGCCCCTCATGCAGGTGCACCGCCTGGCTGGCTGGCAGCCGGTGCCTGGCCGAGCACTGCAGTGATCTGCCTCCCACAGGACCAGAGTCGTTTCCAGTTCAAAGAATGCCAGCAGTGCCGTCAGAGCTGCCATCCCCAAGAAGTGGAGGGACAGGCAGAGGGGCCACAACAGAGGGCATGATTCGGGAACTGTGCGGAGCTGCAGTGTCAGCAGGACAGGCCGTGCTGGGCTCCACACTGGACCATGGGGGGCTGCGTCCATGTCTGGGGCCTTGGAGGCGAAATGTCCTCTGGAGGGGAGGTAGCTGGAAATGTAAATCACCCTGCTGGGGCCAGGGAAGGAGGGGTGGGTGTCCCAGATAGGCTCTATGTCCCTGATATGCGTGTCCCTTCCTTGGGGCCACAGGAAGTTTTGGCAGCTGCCAGTGAAGGTGCGGTGTTAGTGGAAAAGCCATGGCTCACCTGAACTCATGAGCTGGGAGGCAGCTGGCCAGCACTGGAGGGAAGGTATGGTAGCAGTGTCTGTGTGCTCCCTGCCTACAGTATGGACTCACTCAAAGAACAGTTTGAAACCATTGGAAGTGTTCTTGTTCGCAATTAATGTGGCTTTATTATTAATGTGTTGGGCTCCTCTCTTGACAGCAGTTAGTTACAGAGTATTTCACATGGAAATGGGCAAAAGGACAGAACTCAAGGAACTAAATTCAAATAGAAACATGATGCTGAAGAAAAGAATCAGGGCTCTGTTCTTAAAACATTTAGCATAGAAGAAGCTAGGAGCACAAGTTGCCATTTCAATACAGTTAAGACGTTCACTTTTTTAATTATAGGTTTAAAACAGTATTTTGTATCTATTACATACAGGAAGATTACGCGTTGTTGCCCACATGCAGAAACAAGCAAAAGCAGAGTTTAACTGTTTCTCTCTATAGTGTTGTATTACTTCTGGCTCTGGATGGGTTCTGCTGGCTCCTGCAGGCCAAGCAGGGTCAGACTCTTTACAAAGTGGCATTTTTACAAGTCTTTTTCCCATAGTTTTTTAAGATGGGGGGGTGGGAGAAGGGAGGGGAGGGAGGACGAGGGGAGGAAGATGGAGAGGAAGGGAGAGAAGCTGAAGGCAGAACAGACTGCCACAAAATACTAAAAAAAAGTGTGGAGCCTTGAGGACAGGGAAGCGAACTTGTGTAGGATAAAGCTGTCCAAGCAGCATAGCTGCGGAGTGCAGGAGCACAGCACGCAGAGGGCAGGTGTTTTTACTGGAACACATGCCAATGACCGCACTCCTGCCTGGAGGATGCAGGCACCTTGCAAAGCCTCACTATTACTGCTGCTTAGTCAGAATTGCTTCAAGTTTAAAATTGAGAAAACATTCATGTGTGGGTCTATCTAAAGTTAGTGCATTAGCTTTTACACCTAGCCACGCTTAGGGATCCAGGGATCCAGTCAATGAGGGTCACATTTGTTCATCTAGTGTCTGGCATCCTGCACCTGCACTGGTTGGCAGCCAGTCCCATTGGCAGGTGAGCCAGGATCTCCCCAAAGCACTGAAAGCAAACCCCTCCAGCAGTGCCTGGGGGAAGCAGGAGCAGGCGTGTTACTGCCTGCGATTGCTTGCCATAACCAACATTCATGGACGCTGATCCCATCGGGTTACAGAGAATGACATTTATTCTTCTGGCAGACACACCGTGATTCCATGGTTAAAATGAATACAGCACAGGGCAGGGATTTGCTAAATCCCTGAGTAAACTCACATGCTCCTAACAAGGGCTGCATCAAAAGGGCTGGCTGCTCCTAGGGGAGGGGCTGCTAGCCTCAGGCTTTGTCCTGCAGCTGCTGGGTTTTAGGCACAGCCTTGCAGGCTGCAAGCAGAGACCCCTCTTGCTGCCAGCAAGTTCTCTATGGTCTTTTTATGTTGTTGTTTAAGTTGCAGCATCTAAGTATTTGTACTGAGAAACCTCTGAACTGACACTAAGAGCACATGGTTTCATGTTAACATGTATAAATTAAAATATTAAATCCACACAAAATGCAGCTTAACATCCAAAAATAAATATATAAATTAAATGCAAAATAAACCATTTCCCTAGAAACTCCATTTTAGTCCTAGGAGCAGGTTTCTAAGCAGCATTTTCTTTATGTCAGCTGCCAGAAAACTAGCACTGGGACTGAAGTGTCCCAGGCAAGCACAACACAGGGTCCTAGGATGCTTATTATGGAGTCACACCTCGGCTCAGGGCCAAGCACAGTGGGTGACACAGCAGATGGAAATACCTTTCAGTTGCATGTCACGCCTTGCAGCATTGCTTTCTATCTCTTCTCTCCTTCCCCAGAGCACACCCTACTGCCACTCTCTTTGTCTTACAGAAAGATAAAAGCCATCCTTGTGATAAGACCCTCTTGCAATGCTCTCAGATGTGGCAAAGGCTCACTGGTGCTGCAAGCTCAGTGCACCTGAGCACTAACACTCCTGGAACAGCTCTCCCTGCAGGGGCTGGGAGCCCCACAGCTGGAATGGGCTTGCATGCCAAGGAGGCTCTGGGTGACTGTTCAGTAGCAATGATGCACTCACGGCATACAACTACGCTTCTGCCAGGACAGCGAGAGAGCAAGGACATATGCATGCCCACAATAGGTGTGCTAGCAACTGGCTGCGAGCTGCAAGGTATGGACAGCACAGTTTTGACAGCCCCTCACTTATTTATGCTGGCAACAAGAGTCTGCATGTCCCTGCCACAGGTGTGGAGGAACCAAGAGCAACTACAATTACTAAACTACTTTCCCCGAGTGTTTTGGGAAGGGGGTTCTCCTTCCCCACACCACAGGTTCTGTCCCCACATCCTGGACACTTTGGGGGACAACAAAAAGCTTGAACACAGCTAAGAGGCTTGGACTGCTGGCATACAGGCAGCGAAGAAACTGCTGCTGCTTGCAAAGCTGGCACACATCAGCTACACCAGCCAGACGCTAGCCTCTCTCAGTATGGCATGCAGGTTGCTCAGCTGCCTCACCACAATCCTCAAGAAAGCCTTTGGTTTACAAGGACAGGGAGGTTTCTCGTACATCTTAGGCCAACAGTGGCCAGGGTTGTTTCAGCCCTTCTGCTTTAGCAGGGGCTGTAGTTGTGCGTTTGGATACTCTTTTTGTGTGACTGTTCAGGCAACAGCCCCTCTGTGCCTCCTACTGTCACACTGCTGATGTGCAGGAGTAAGTTGGCCACTCTGTGTGTGCAAAGCTCAAGTTAGCAGGTTAGGAATGTGCTCTTTGTAGCAAAGAACAACAGGCTGAACTCCCCTCTCCCACTGCCACCCCCAAACAAATGTGTCCTTCATCCCAGCTCCTTGAGCATAGTGAGCAGGTGTTGCAGGATGCTGCAACCAAACATTTGGGACAGAAACCTGCAGAGCTGGCAAATGTTGGTCCTGCCTAGTTGGAGTACAGGTCCCCTTGCTCAGAACACCATGTGTATGTTCAGGATGGAAGATGGAAGAATGACCTTCACTGTCATGCTACAGTTGGAGGGTTTTGCCTTCCCTCATCTCCTAAGTGCATTTTCTTTGCAAATTAGTTTTCTTCTCTGCCCCCCCGCCCCCCATGCACTGTCTACATGCAGCAGCAGCACTTCAGCCCTCACCAGAAAGACGAGGTTCATGGTGCTACAAGTTAAATGGCAAGGCAGCCAGGAAGAGAGTAGAACAAGCTCTCACAGCAGCAAGGCAGCCAAGATAGTATACAGAAACTGTACAGGCAGCAGAATAAAGCAGGGAAAGTGAAAGTGCCCCTGGCCTGCAACTGCTCTTGCACAAACTCTTAGCTCAGTCCAGAATATTACAGAGCCCTGCACTTCTTTCTCATGGCATCCAGTGCTGAGCTAGATGGATACCCGATTGCCTGACAAATGGGAACCATGTAGAGGACTAAACCAGAGAAGAACTGGACTGTGATTAGATGGTGTCTCTGATGTTGCATCGGTGATTGGAGAGTCAATGGATGAACGCGAAGTGTGGGAGATTTAGAATTCGATCTTACAGGCTGGAAAAGATTCATCCTGCATCACAACAGTACTGCTGCTTGCCAATACCATGATGTTTAGCTCCTGCTGTTTCTCATGGGTCTGTTGGTACCATTCTCGTGTCACCTCAGTATCATGTGTTGGGATCAATGTCACCTGGGAAAAGAAAGCAGCAGGGATGATTGTCTGAGAACAACTGCAGTGACAAACAATACCCATAGGAGCTGAGGCTAAAATTTCCCATTAATTTTGGAACACTGTACCCTTGGTACTGCTTGTTCTATTTAATGCCTTTCAGATGTCAGGTTCTCTAAGGCAGAGCTGGTGCTTTATTTTATGCAGTACCAGCACAATGGTGCTCTGAGCTGGCTGCAAACTGGCAGTACTAGCACCATAATGATGAAAATGGCTGCAGTGCAGGGGAGAGCATCTCTCTGTGGAACTCCAGAAACAGCCTTAGAAAGATCCCTCAGTATGAAAAGGAATAATGCTGAGAATGTCACTGTTAATGGCCTGATATTAGACTTTATATGCCTATTGACCTGATGTGCAACTCCAGGACCTTGAAATCTGAGGCTGCTTCATCTGAAAGAACATACACACTTTCTTGTATCTGTGTTCAGAAAGAGTGCCCACCCAGGATGTCCTGCAAACCTGACTAAGCAAGAACTATGTGTAAGAACATTCTGGTTTAAAAGCACCAATAAAAAGTTGCTATCAGATCTTCAGCAAGCAAGGCTAGCAACAAATGCTACTGGGTGTGGGATGCTGTGATGAAAATTCAGACCGTGATGGTGCTTGGTTTTGCTTGAGGATAGGTTTGTCCTGCAGCAGATAAGGAGGAGTATATGATCTCTAAATGCTTCCTCCCCTCAGAAGGATGTGGAAAGGAGGGCATACCTGCTTCCACTCATACCATTTTGCAGGTCTCCTCCTTCTCCTCATGGGTACAAACAGTTACTTTTCTAAGACTGCAGAACAGGACATGCCCAGTACCATTTGCTTCCTCTTAGCGCACTCCCTCTGGGTATGTTTGTGACACACACCTCCCCAGCCCTTGTGACACAAGGAACATCACACACACTCCTTCCTTGGCATTTCCATGACCTACCTGCAGGTTCTCCCCCCACTGAGACTTCCCTTCCAGGAGTGCATCCAACACTGCACGGCTTGGTTCTCCATTGGCTGCATCATTCCCACTCACAACATAATATGATGCTCGAACCCGCTTGAAGAACTCCGGATCTGTGTTCTTTCCACTGCAATGGTTGGGGATGTATGCCAAGTCCACATAGACAGGTGGACCCATGGGCACAGGCAAACTGCTCTTAGGACTATTGGAAGCTTTGGAAAAAAGAGAACAGAAGCTATCAAAACGCTTCTGGAAAGGACAAACATTCAAATTAACAGTGAAGGACTTGAGTTCCAGAAAGGTTTTTCCCTGCAGCTGCAGCAACAAAGATAAGATTTATCCAGGCTCTGCTGCTTAGAGGTGACCTGGGTGCATTTCTGGGCCAATGCTGTCACAGCTCTTGGGAGGGAAAGGGAGTTCTGCTGTTCTTTGGGGAAGGACTGGAAGGCTTTAGGGTCAGAAGCATTTCCTGGGGAAGGGAATAAAAAAATCTCCATTATTAGCTTTTGCAGGGTTGTCATCCCAGACAATATTTAGTCCTAATTTTTGTTGTTTAATAACCTACATTTGCTAAAGAAACCTGTTCTGATGGCCTTTATATAGTATCCTAGGGTATTACAGTAGTCTTTCTGGAAGCTCCATGCCAGCTTTCTGCCATCCCTGTGAATCACTGCTATTCCAAGGATTCTATTACTCTTTCCTGTCAACCTTTGGTACCTTTTTTGTCAACCTTTTACGAGATGAGAGATGGTCAAACAAGAGTTGTTTTAGTCAGCATATATATGCATATATATTCACACACAATCTATAGAAGGACTGCCTCTTCTCTCCCTCCTGCTCTCTGTGGAATCAGAGGCCTCCGTCCTCTTTTTCCTTCCATATACTGTCTCCGGGTAGTCTCTTCTGTGAGAAAAAAGCCACTAACTACTAGCGTGGACAACTCGTTGTACTGTCTAGCTGCTACACAAACAAAAAATCCCTACCTGTCTCAGCCAGTCTTACAGATGTCTAGTCCTCATCCCAAGTTATTTGGGCAACTCACAGCACTGCTCCATGCACAACCTCTACATCCTCTATCTTTGTCTCAACCCTCCTTTCAGACTCACATATCCAGGCACTGCATCTTGCCAGTCCTTTCTGTGCAGCGCCTCTAAGACATGAGCATTCTGCACAGACACTCTGCTAATACCTGGCTCTCTCTTGACTGTACCCTATTTGCTTGTCAGCTGTTCATGAACATCAGCTGGCTCAGCCCCTGCTCAGTTCACATTCCTTCGCAGAGCCCTGTCTGGCCTGGCACTATGACCACCTCATTGCTCCAGCTGCTGCTTTCTTCTCGCTCCCCACTACACTGAGCAGCCCCTGCATCAACTGCTTGGCCTGTCCATTGCCCTTGCTGTGACTGACGCTATCTGCCAGTGACACCGATTTGCCTCACCTGAGCTGTATTTGCAACACACACACAGGGGGTCTTTTCAGGTCTTCCCCTTCAGCTGCTCTCGCTTAACAGGAGCTCCCTGTAGCGCCTTTGCAAACCTTCCCCCACTTCTCCTACACCCTCTCTTTGCCACAGTGTCTGCAATGGGCATCTGCTGAGGCCACAGCACCTCAGCTATGTTTCAGTTTCTCCATTCTCCCCAGCACTGCCCACCCGCTGGTTCTTGTCTCATACTCAGAATCAATGATCTGGAGCAACGGATTAAGATTTGCTCTGTGTCTGTAAAGTGCCTGGCACTATGGGGTCTCAGCACAGACATAGTGATGATGCAATACTGTACCACCTAATACTGATATCATCTGGTAGGATACCAGTAGAGCACTGGTCTCTGTGTGAACACTTAGCAAGAGGCCACGGGCTGTACAGACGCTTGAGGCCAAGTCCCTCTTTCACACTTTTATTTAGGAAAAAGAGAAGACCTTAGTTTCCAACAGTCAGACTGCCTCTTCAGTGCCCTGTGTGTGGTACTCAGATGTGGGAGCTGTTCCCATCCCATCTCTGCTTAACATTTCAGAGGAAAGGACATATCTGACCATGGCGGTGTCCTGTTATTCTAAGTGACAGCTTTATCCCAGTCCAGCGCAATGCACTTACCCCACTCATAAGCTGAGAGTTTGCCACCTCTTTTTAAAATACACACATATTTTGTCCTTGAAATGCTGGCATTTCTTTGACAGCACCCACCTCTAAATACCTACTGTCCCTCCACAGATGTAGCCCCTGGGTGGAACTGAATCTTGGCCTACAAAGTTCTAAATTAGGTCTCACAGATCTGTCTCTCTTCAGAGGTGGTTGCATTCGGCTCTACAAAGGTTGAGAGTTTTCCTCATGGCTTTGATCTTTTTAAGTGGTTTGTGTGACAACCTCTCTACCTTATCGCTGCTTATAACTTTTTATGCCTGACTGGGAAGTCCTATTCTTTGTTCTGCTAAACCCAGTGCTTTTTCTCTGTTGAACCTGAAGAGAAAATGCATGCTTAAGGAAGAATTTCTTACCAGGGTTTGTTTTGATGCCATTAACAAGGCTCTTGCCAGGGTTGCTGTGACTACTCCGGGATAACTCATCCTCTGTGTGAGGAGGCTGTACCAGTGCATTACGTGGTTTGGGCTTCTCTCCTCCATCTCTTTCTTTTTTGGCAGTGACAGATTTTGGAGATTTGTCTGATGGCTGTTTCACAGGAGTGGGTGATCGTTTCCCTTTCACATCTAATTTCCGGGCAGGCGAGGAAGATTTAGGTTTGCTCAAAGGCTTCCTCACACCTTTGTTCTTTTCTTTTATGTCTTTCTTGGAAATTTTATCAGTTCTGCTCATGCTTTGTTCATTTACCAGCATATCAGGGTCTACCATGCAGACATCAGGGTGAGGAGGATGGGGATGGGGATCTACCATTGGAACAGGCTGAGGATCATGGCTGGACCTAGAACTGGCATGATGAGCATTCCCAACAGCTTTGTCCACTGGGAGGAAATCGGCATCTTCATCCGAATCCATGTTGGCATCTGCTGTGATGGACGGACATTCTTCTGTCTCAGGCGGGACATCCGAGTCTGACTGGGAGGTTCCAGAATCACTCACTGATGTTGGAGGGGTTTCCTCCACTGTGGCACTTTGCATGGGGCTACTACCAGTGTGGGGTGGTCTTCCTTGCACTGAAGGATGACCATCCTCCTGTGAGAGGTCACTATCTTCAGAGAGCTCATGAGGGCTCGGGTTGATGAATGAGGGAGAGAGCTCTCCCTTCCTGTGCTTGTATTCACATGAGGAAAATTTCTGTCCACAATCAAAACTGCCTCCTAAACGTGGCTCCATCTCATGGGAAGCATCTCCATGGTCCTCTGTTTTTCCACCCCTCTGCACATCTGGGAAAAAGGGCTGGAAACTGTGTTCAGGGGACATCAGAGAGGAAGGACGGCTCTGCCTCTCTGTGTCCTCTTTGCCTGCGCATGGAGAAAAACTGCTGTCAGAATCAGGACACGTTTTTTCATCTTTTGCCTCTGCTGCATGGTATGTACTTTGGAAAGCTTGCAGACTGGTGCTCACCTCTGTTGGACCATTGGCTGTGGTTTCATCTTCATGCTGATGATGAGGAAATGATGTCAACACATCAGGGAGAGATGTCAGTGTCATCAGCTGTTCTGCAAATTGTGCCTTGTGCTCTGGCCTGCTTACACAGGGTTGCTGTTGTTTCTCTGCAGAGAATGGTGTGGGCTGTAAACTCTGGCACTCCTTTCTGCATGGGGAAATGCTGTCACCCATGCCACTTGTGAATGGAGAACCGTGTTCTTCAGCAAACACAAAGTCTTTGGTTTCAGCTATATGTGTTTTCATGGCATTATCGGAAATCTGTGGAGACACATCCCAAAGACTCCTGGTACCTGGTTCTGCTCCTGCACCCGTGTATGTAGAAAGCATATGGGAGTAGAAACTTTCTGCTGTAGTTGATATGACAGGAGTGGTAGCTTCAGATGAAGGCTCCTCTGACAGGCTGGAAGAGTCATCTTTCAGCTGCTGTTGGGGGACAGACTTTCTTTCCACAGCTTTGGAGAATAACTTATCTTCTTCATATGGACTTAGCGGTGAGAATTTAGTAAAAGATGACTCAAGGCTGCTGATTTTCTCAGAAACCTCCAAGTACTCATCTTTCTTCCCCTGGTCTGAAAGCAAAGCACAAGGAGCCTTTAAAGGAAGAGAGATATCCCCTAAATGGCTTGCTGACGTTTGCTCATGTCTGAACATACTGGATGTTTCACTCTTTCCTAGCAGGGAGCATTCAAATCCAGAAGAGCTATCCATCAATCTGCCTTCTACTGTTGGGTCCTTTTTGTATGCCTCCTTCTGTCTTCCGGAAGCAGATTTCAAGTATATGGCTTGCTCTTGGCATTCTGAGACCACCGCTGCACTTGGATAATCTGTTACACAGGAATGTAATTCCTTTGTGGATTTTTCAGCAACCTCTCTCTTTTGTGAAGAATCTTGTCTTAAGTGGCACATTTCTGAAGCCTGCTCATCTCTGCCTATGTCTGGCAGGTCACTGTAGCCAGCAACATATGTCCCCATGACAGTGGCTGGTGCGGTTTTCATACCTCCATATTCCTCTTTCCACCCTGGATCAGAAGGTGAAGAGGCAGTAGAACTGCGTGAAGTGGACTCCTGGTGCTTGCTTTCCAGAAGGGGTTCTGATACATGAAACTTGTCCATTGCTGAGATGTGTGCATAGACTGTGCCTGCAGCTTCAACAGGGCTGTGCAGTTTAGACTCCTTTTCAGATTTCTCCTTGGCGCCTTTTTCTAACTCTGAGTCACTCATGCTTTCTTCCCCTCGACCTGCTTTCTCATAGTATGTATCCTTGGGATTTGGGATTTCAGATTTCAGGGACAGAGATGGCTGCTCCTGGCTAGACAAAATGATGTTCTCATCTGGACAGGCAGCATCAATATAGGCAGCTGATTTTTCCTGATAAAACGTGTCAGTCATGTCTGTGGGAGAGGCAAATGCTGTGCTTGCGGATGATGGGTGCAGTTCAGAGTCTAGTTCTTCTGGCAAAGCAGAAGACACCTTCAGTTCTTCCTGTCCTTCAGATATCTTAGGCTTATCAGTTTCAGACAAGGGCAAGTATCTTTCATGGATGTCTGTATAGTCAAAGGCTGAATCTGCTTTATCTTTAGGGGATGCTGGCGATGACAACTCCTTCTCAGCAGAGGTATAAAGGCAGGACTCTTCTTCCTTTGCAGAGACGTGAAAACTTTGACCTTTTTGAGAGAGCACTGTTGTTGCTGGTACCTTGTCAGTGTGACCTGGGCTGTCTGCACCCTTGGGTGTGAAGGGGGAGGGTCCAACTCCAGACACAATTATCTTCTCATAGATGTCAGCATACTTGAAACTTCTTTCATCAGGGTAGGGAGTTGGTTCTCTCTCTTCTTGCTCTTGTCTTGTAGAACTGTCATCACCTCTGGGTCTGCAGACCCCTTCCTCATAGGAATAAGGCTCAGGGGAGCTCCTGGAATAGGTCTCTGGAGGATATGCCACACGGCCGGCAGAACCCACAGCCTCAGCATGGCCCATGGCAGCACTGCTTTTTTGACAAGGGCCTTGTCCTAGAGGAGAGTGTGCACACTGCCCTGACACTGCAGCACTTTCTTCTGGGGACGCTGCTATATATTCATATTCTGCTGGTCTTGTAGATTGCAACAGAGTAGATGCTGCTGCCATCTGCTCTTTTCTTCCTGTAGACTCATAAAGACCCTCGGTGGATTTGTAGTCATCCTCTTGCTTTCTATCTGACTTATATTTACAGTCTATTTCCTGATACAAACCACTGATGTCTGATTTCTTCTCTGTGTCTTTCGATGGGACTTCTTCCCGTAAAGTTGGCTTGCACTGATCTAACTTGTAAGGCCTTTCTGTTTCTGGTATCGTGTCAATCTCCTTTTCCAGAGTGGTAGTTGTTACAGACAGGGGAGATGCCATCAGTGCTTGGTCTAGTGACTTTGCATAGATATCTAGGACAGCTTTCTCCTCATCATCTAAGTAGGAGTAATCATGTTTAGATGTCAACAACAATTCTTGCCTTTCTTTGTTTCCAGTTAATGCTTTGGCCTGATTGTCCTCACCAGAGGCATATTGAGAAGACAGAGGAGAACCTCCCATTTGTGTTCTTTCTGGGAGAGTGATGTCAGCAGGAACTATTTCTGCTTTCTTTGTTTCTGATGTAGGTTTGGCACTCTTCTGTGTGTCTTCTTTGTAATCACACGATTCCATCTTTAAACATTCTGCTTCTGCTTGCAGTAGCACAGGTTTGTCTTCAGCATGACAGAGCTCCTCATCGTCCTCATCCTTGGGTAACTGTCCTCCTCTTCCAGTCTCTCCTCCTTCCTGAAGATACCCATACACTGAACCCCATGCTTCACTTTCTGCTCTTCTCCAGCTGTGACTGCCAGGCACTGCAGGAGATAGGATCTCCCCCTCTCCCATTTTAGGAAGGGATTTTTTTTCATATTCTGGTACCTCGTCCAAGAATGTGCTCTCTCTCTCTTTATCATATCTCTGCCGCCTTCCCTGAACAGGGGTCTCCTCCACCTCTTCTGGAAACCACACTTTCTTCTCATAACTTAAATCTTTCATGTAAAAGTCTTCCATTTCTGGAGATTTTTCTTCTTGAGCTTCTTTGAACCTGCAAGATTTTACACCTTCAGTAGAAATGTGTGAAGATGTTTTATCCTCAGTTGGGCTAGAGTCTGTAAAGTGTAAGCCCTTCATATCTGGAGATACTTCCTGAGAGTCCAAGCCTGCAGTTCTTCCCCTAAGTGGGTCCTTTTCTGTTGCAGAAAATAAACTGCTGTCATCTGGAGACATTTCTTCAGTTGAAGTATCTCTGGGTGACGTGTCTTTAATTGAGCTACTTTCTGGGCAAGGAAAAGGTTTTGACACTTCTTTTGTGAATTCTTTGGCAGAAATTTTCAGTGATTTTTCATATGTAGCTGGGCTCTGCTCTGTAAAATCCATGGATTTCACAGCCTCTGAAGGGAATTTGTCAGTGAAGTCAGATGTAGTTTTTTCTTTTGCAGGTATCTCTTCTGTGAAACTAAGAGATTTTATGTCTTCTGGAGAAATTCCTTTAACAAAAAGGTCTGAAGAGATTTCCTTGCTGGGACTCTCAGTGAGAGAAATGGATTTGGTCTCTTCTGGAGAAATGTCTTTAATGGAAACATGAGAAGATTTTTCTTCTTCTGAGGTGTCTCCCGTGAAATACAGCAGTTTTTCTTCTTCAGTAGTCACTCCCTTAACAGAAGTATCTGAGGATTTTTCTTTACCAATACTTTCTTCTGTAAAAGAAAGTGATTTGGTGTCATCTGGTGAAAATTGTGAAGATTTGTCACTTTCAGATTTGCTTTGGCTTGTGAACTGTGGAAGATCCACATTTCCTAGGGATGTTTCTGTGGTAGAGAATGGCTCAAAGGACAAGTGTTTTGAAAATCCCATTAAACTTTCTGTAATGGTTTTAGTTCCTTGCTCTTTTTCTGGCTCCAGAAACACATCTGTGCTGGGATGAGGCAGCATGGGACGCTCCTCCTCCTCCTCCCCTATCACCACTGTGTCCTGCTTGTGGTAGGACAGCCAGGGCAGCTCCTCCTTGCCCACTGGTTCTTCCTGCACCTCGTCCCCAGGAGACACTGGAACATCACTGCCCAAGTCCAGCTTGTGCTGTACAGGTCCAGGCACTTCTTTTTCATGTCTGTATTTAGCTGCAGATAGCTCATCTTCTTTGAGAGGTTCACCCTTGGCTCCCTTCACCACAACAGAAGTTTGGCTTTCCAATTTGTTGGCAGCAGCATCTGTTTGTTTTTCAAATAGATCTGAGTCTACTGTTTCTAGTTTTTCCTCCACTGGAGACTGGTGGAAAGGTGTGTGTCCTGCACTAGTGGGGCCAGATGGGGTGGGAGAGGCCATTTTGACTGTACTATCATCAGGACTCATGCATCGTTCTTCAGCCTCTGCAGAATCAACCTGGGAAAGCGGTGTTTCTTCAGTGGATAATGGCAGACCAGAAGTTTGCACCACTTCCGTGGGAACACTGATTAACACATTATCAGGACCTCCTTGATGAGCAAACATGGGGGCATTGTAATGCCCTCTGAGTTTCTCAGGCATTTCAATATTTGGAGTCCCATCTTCTTCTTCCTCTTCATCTTCTGCTTCTTCATTAAGATCCTTTTTTTGAGCTTCCGGTTTTCTCTCTCCTTCTGCTAATGCATGGAAATCTTCAGGGGGTGGAGATTTAAAACATTTATCTTCCTCCAAGGACGATGTGGGGGAGATTGTGCCAGCAGAGGGAACATAGTCAAGACCTTGGGTTGCTTCAGTCCGAGAGGAGGGCATGCTGTTTACTGTGTCTAGAAGTAAAGAGCTTTTCCCAGTCTCTTCTGTTTGTGGTGCTGTTATAGATGCAACCGATTGATCTTCTGCTACTGAAGTTGCAAAAGATGAAAGCTTATCACATTCTGTAATGGAGGTAGCAGAGGATATATGTTCCTCCTCAGCTAGAGGTGCTGCCACAATGTTTGTAGGATATGCCAGGATTTCAGACTCCTGGCCAGCATAGCCCTTGGCTGAAAGGTCAGCAGTAGGCATGGCCTGTATTCCATGTATGGCTTCAAAAGAGCCTGGGTGGTCAGGAACAGAAATGTCATAGGCATTGACGTCATACTTCAAGTGTGGGATCCTCTCTTCCTGTTCATCATGTATTTCTTCATCAGAGATGGTCTGCTCTGTTTCTGAGTAGCCTGGGATAGTTTCATCTTGGATATATGAAACATGTTCTGCTGTTGCTCCTGCTGGGACTGGCAGACTGCTCAGATATGACTCTTCCTTTGTTATGTCCTTTCCAAGTAACTTGTTTTTCTCAACCATGTCACTAAAATCTTTCTCTTTTTCTGTAGTGGTAAATATTTTGTCCTCCCTCTCACCCTGATTCAGCTCATAGAAGTCTCTATTCTTTTCCACCTTCTCCTCTGCCTTCATGTGCTGTCCTTCCTTTTCTTCCAGTTCTGCCTTTTCTATCACATCTTCTCTCTTTTCCTTCTCACCCTCTTCCTGTGCCTCTGTCCCCTCGGTATACTTTTCACAAGTCTTTGTTTCTGCTTCCCTCTGTTTTCTGTCCAAAGAGATTTTCTCCTCTTCCTCCTTTTCTTCCTCTCTGAACGCTGATGACTGAACACCCTTTGCTAAGGGGTCTGTCTGTGATGGTACTTGTTCTTTGTCTGGAACCAGCTGAACTTCCTTGTCCTGCTCAGCTTTTCCCTCACAGTATCTCGTGTCATGATTTTCATCTATTGTTCTTCTTTCATCCTCTATTTCTTCAGCATGACCTGATCTCAGTTCTAGCTGATGGACTGCCTTTTCCTCTGCTGGTGATTCTTTTTCCATATCAGTAGTAGTTATTCCCTGATCAGGAATATTTGTTTTCAAAATCAGATCCACTTCAAGGCAACTCTGAGCAATCATGTCAGCAGAGTCTTTTATCTCTGTTTCAGGTACTCTCATAATCTTATCACTAACCTCAATATCAGACATTTCCTGAGTCACCTGCAAGGCCCCTTTCTCCTCATGCTTCAGTTCCTCAAAGTCCTTTGTAAGATCTTCTGGTGAAGACAGGACTAACCTCTGTTCAGCTATGGAAGTCTCTCCTGGCTCCACCTGTACCGGTGCCTTCTCCATTGGTGATGTCTTCAAATCAGCAGGTACTTCCTTTTCAGGTTTGACTTTGATCTTCTCAGTTTTGAGTCTGCCTGGAACTTTTGCCTTGTATAATGTTTTTCTTACTTCTGGGGTAAATGGTTTTAAGTCTGGTTTAGAAATTTTTTTGGGCTCTGGTTTGGTTTCTTTCTTTTTATCCTCTTTCTTTGAATCTTTTTTTTCCTCTTTCTTTCCATCATCTTTTTTTAAGTCTTTTTTCTCCTTCTTAATCTCTTTCTTTTCTTTGTCTTTCTTCTCCTCCAGTTTGGATACTTTCTCTTTGAGATGCTTTTTTCCAACCTTGTCTTTTGACAATTTTCTTTTCTCAGCTTTGAGAGCATCACTTGTTTCTGTCTTTACCTTTTCATGTTTAACAGGTTTCTCAGGAATTTTCTCTGAGTGTTCTTTAACCTTTTTCTCAATTTTAGTATCCTTTATGACTTCTGGTTTTATCTCCTTAATCCCCTCCTCAACTGCCTCTTCTTTCTTAGCTTGCTTTGTCACAGATGGCTTGGGGGAAGATTTAAGACTCTCTTTACTGTCAGTTCTTTGTTTAATTTTGGTCTGCTTCAGCACAGGTGGAGGTATTCCAGAAGTGATATCTTTCTGAGTAGCCACTGGGTACCTCAGAAAATCCAGATGCTTGAGTTTCTCAAGACCTTCCAGTATCTTATTTTGAGGAGCATTTCCAGGAAACAAAACCCTTACAATTTTCTCTGTTGGGCTAGCTGGAAGCCATACCACGAGGGCTGTGATGGATGTGAGATAGGGAACAGAAATTTCACCTTCTTTCCCACTTGCAAGAATTATGCCAGTTTTTGCTTTACTATTACCAGCCCATTTCTGCATTAAAAACTGCATTTCTTTACTGTCCTTGACAGGATTCAGTATATACATGTCCAGCTTACCCACTCCCATTTTGTGGAAAAGTGTGATAGGTTCAATGGTACTGCTCACCACCCTGTAGAGAGGCTCTGATTTAATGCCTAGTCTGTTGAGATACTGCAGTGTCAGACAAGCTTCTTCGATGCTCCTCTTTACTTTCATGGACGATTCAGGCATCTTCAGTTTTTCAGGAACATTAAAAAAAACCACCCCTAGCTCAGGAGAAATTAGGTTCTTCATCCAGTCACTGTAGTTGGTAGAGCCCTGGGATTGTTCCTCTTCTTGCTCAGCAACTTTCCTCTGCAGCAGCCCATTGATGCCAGGTAGGTTGTCTGCACCAATGTGGGTGAGCAGGATTGAGTCAATCCTATCCAGGTGCCTTACAAGCTTCCAGAAGCAAGATTTCCTGTCAGAGCCACCATCCACAAGGATGTTAAACCCATTTACAGCAAAGAGAGCAGAATCACCTCTTCCACCAGGGAATATGTAGCAGCAGGGTTTGGAAAGCTTCAAAAAGCCCCCTGAAGTGGGTGGCTCCAGGAGATCAAATGGAGATGGCACGTCAACTGTCTCAGAGACGTATTCTGCAAACTCAGACACCCCATCCATTTCTGGCAGAACTGGATCAGGATTCAGTTTCAGATTAATAATTTCCTGAAATCGAGGATGCCCAAGGTTGCTCCAGTCTCCTTCTCCCAAGCACGACACAGTGAGGGAGGCCTTGATATCTGAATCAGTGTTGCTAAGAATCTGGATGACCTAATGAGACAAGCACAGACAAATAAAGGTCAAATAGAGCTCTGAGACCAATTCAGCACTTAAAAAAAAAAAGCCAGTTAATACAGAAATACTGAAAATGCCATGAGCACTTTACTGACAGGAAACATTAGGGACAGATTAAATAGTCCAAAAGCCCGTTGCAAATAGATGCATGGGGCCATGTTCTGCTCTCTTTTGAAATTCTTAACGTTGATGGGCTGTTATGCTTCCTGACTGTTGGGAATGCATGGTGACAAGACCTCAGGAAAGAAAATGAAAGCAGGAACTGCCTTGTCCTCTTTCCTTACTTCTTCCTATTTAACCTGTGATATCAGCCCCTGGCTTGGGCTCAAAAGCAGCTGTTTCTTTTGGATTTGTGATTTCTAACCCTGAGATACCCTTTTCAGTGCTAAGCATCATTGTCTGAACTTATCCTCGTTCATTGGCTAGTGAATGATCACATAGCACTTTGTGCAGTTTTAGTGCCATAGGACTTTCTTTTTTATTCAGATTTATTTTCTTTCCTGGGACCTATTTTGAAAGTTGTGACTCCATCTCTGATAGACATACAGGGTTGGGAACATGCTACATGACTAATAAGTAGAACTAAGGTCAATATAATTTCCAAGGCTCCTTAGAGCTATGCTGAACATATCCCAAGCAAAGAAGCATTAAACCTCGGACTTCCCAAGTATCTGGAATGAGATTAGTACACTTCTTTACACTGTGTTCTCCTGCTTATACAGCCCTTAATTGACTAGTTAGTGTCCAAATAAATGGGTACCAGAAATAAATGAGAACAATCAGCCTAAAAGAAATGAAGGTGGGCAGATTTGCTATGTAATTACAGCAACAATGATACCAATTGTCAAAATACCACCCAGCCATTCCTGCAGCAACTGTACATTCAGTCAGATGGAGACATTCTAAACATCTGGCACACAATGATCAGTGGAAGTAGGTCTTATCAAAAACTGAAGCAGCATATCTGTGTTGGCAACAAGCACCAAAAGAAAGAGTTTAAAGCCTCTGAGGAAAGCTATAGTACACCTAGCTAAGATAATTAGCATTGCAGCAGAGGTTCAGAGATGTCCTATAAGGTTTTCAAGACCCCACTGGACAAAGCCCTGAGCAATCTTGTCTAAATTCAGTGCTGACCCTGCTCTGTGTGGGAGATTGGGCTACAGACCTCTCAAGTGCCCTTCCAACCTGAATGATTCTGCAATTCTACAATTAAATAATGACATTTGTAGTTATTTAATCATCATGTAGTTACCTAATCAGCATTTATTCATCCCCTTGTAATCTTTACACACCCCTAATGAACACTGAACCTTGTGAACAGCTTATACTTGCTGGGCTGATTGTGAAATGAAGAGAAATATCCACATTTACTAGAGTGATGATGGCCTCTGTTGGCTGTTTTTTGGAAGCTGCCCACAGATATTCTAAGGCCTGCTTTAAGAAATTCTGAGTGTCTGCCCACTGCAGAGCCAGTCTGGAAGGTTATTTCAAGCTGAGTACCTAAAGCTGGACACTTTTCCACGCTTGCCACCTTGGAAAACTTAAGCCAGGAAGTTAAAGCAAGATGCCCAAGACTATAGCATGAATTATTTATGGTGTGCAATTTTTTTGCTGGATTTGAAGCCCATCCCTCTATGGATCTGCCACCTGAAGGAGCGGTGTGGGCTGCATTGCTCTGTCATGGACTCTGTGAACAGCAGGGACATGCTGGCTTACTGCTCACACTCACCTCTGGGTCTGAAAGTATCTCAGCAAACTTCTGGTAAGTGAAGGTCCCTGTCTGCAGGATCAAGTCTCCTTCCTGGTCTGAGCTCTGACCACAGAAGATCAGTAGCTTGTGGGCTGATGAATCACACACCAGTGAACGGACCTGTTACCATGAGACAGAGTGTTGCAGTCAAAAAGTTACCTGTATTCCTCATCAGCACCCAGAAACCCAATCACATGGGCAGGCAATACTTATGCATTATTCACAAATAGTCAAAACATAAGTTTTCTACATACAAGAGAGTAGGTTATTGAAGAGGGAAGACACTGCTACTGCCTGCCCAACACAGCTCTGTGTCACATCATAATTCACGTTGAGAAAGTAGGCCAATGCTAAGAGAAAATGTTTGGTGTTACACTGCCATGTAAGAGGTTGGCACATTTAGACTCTCATCAAACTAGAATGCTCAAGGCTCAGAAGTCCTCCACCTTGTTTGCTAGGAAACTCTACAAGCTCCTGAGAAAACCATAAAATTGGGCAATTCTAAGGCACTAACTCTTCCGGGAGGCAGCTCATTACTAAAGGGCTAGCACACAAGAAACCATACACTCTCATGTGTTTCTTTGTCTAACAGTAAATTCTGTCACAGAATACTGGTTACTGCATATATCTTGTTGGCAAGACCAGAACACCTGGCCACTTCACCACACCTTGCAGCAGAATGGCAGCATGTTCGAACTCTCCAGAAGGTACAAAGTGTGATGATCATGACCTCTATGTCAAGCAAGGGCAGGAGAGCTGATGTAGAGAAAATCTGCTGGCATCTGGTCCTTACCTCAGACACGATGCTGTCCACATTGGGATTTACCAGGATCACTGTCTCCAGGGTATCACTCCGGTGATGGAGGGTTCTTTGGCCTAGGGAGAGGCAAGAGATTAGACAGGATGGGAGAAGCCAATGAGACAGTATCTGCCTACTGATGTTTTAGCCTCAAAAACTCCACTTCAGCGTGGCTGTGATTGCAAGACTTCAGCTTGCATTTTAGACCCAATTTAATACCCGGATCTCATAGAACAAAGCAAACTCTTTTCAGTAACAAGGGAAAAAATCCTAGTTCTGGATCAGCACAATTTGCAACTCAACTCCAACGTGTTCTGAAGTCCACAGTGCCAGGCATATCAAGCTGCCCGCTTGTGCCAGACAGCTGTGCCCCGTAAATGCTGGTACAGACCAATTATTCCCTCCAGACAGAAGTATCTTGCCTCATTGCAGCTACCATGGAGAGGTATCTCTGGATGTTGTCCAAGCCTTAGTCACCACAAGGCTTTGTGAGCCAGCTGGTGTGTGCTAACTCACCCTTCATTAGAGTGGTGCAGCACTAATAATGGATCTTTCATCATTCTTAATAAGTTTTTTCTCCTATGAAGTGTTTTTCTTCAATCCAAATGTGCACCCCTAGAGGTAAACTGCTGCTATGGGAACCACCTAGATGGTTGTTGTAGAAGAATGCTTGTTCTCCTGTCTCTCTCCTGTGAGAGTCACAAACAGGCACCCAGACAGCAATCTGCTCTCTCTCTATATTTAGGCAAAAAAGAAAGAGCCAAATAAGAGCAAACAAGAGCCTGGTAGTGCAAAAAGCAATTTGTGTGCTCACCTTGGCATGGGCATTACACGGATATTTGGCAAAATATTGACATAATGCCTGGGCCCTATTAATTTATTAGAAAGAACAGTGGTGACTGCCTGCCATCCTGAAAGGTGGGGCTAGAGCCATCATTGTGTACCCATGTCAAACAGGTCTGGGAAGCAGGATGATGTACAGGACCTGCCTGCAGCATTTCCCTTGACACTGCAGGCAGCACATAATTTTTTGGATTCTGGTCTTTGCAAATACCTACCTGCGGACATTATATCCACTCCACAAGCCAGGCACTTCGAACTTAACTGTTGGAATGTATAATTTATAGGGTTTAAATCTCTGATAGGCTTTAACCCCTCATATAGACTGGAGGGCCACAGATCTTCACTGAAAATAGGCATCTCTTTCTATTTTTCATCTTCCAGACAACTGTTGCTCTCTACTCCACAACCTCCCATCAGCTCTCTTTCTAGGCAGATCTCAATCCTTCTAAAATAGCTTTATCAAACTGGTATTTCAAAGAAAGATACCAAAAGGACACAAAAAGAAAGAAGTCCGAAAAAGGCCAATACCTGGTATAGCTTTAATCAAAGTCAGTTTACTGGGATGTTTTACTCTGGCTGCCAGCAATTAAGTATAAACCAGACAGATATGCCCAGAAGGCAACTTTCAGCCCAAAATGAGAGCAGCTCTAAGCTCTCAGCAGAACTATTTATATTCTGCATCTCTAGCTTCTTTCTGAACTTGTGTTCTTTCAGTTTGTCTAAAAATGGTCCCTCCAGACTAAAACAAAATCATCACTGTGCAGAGGAAATGCTTGCACTGAGTTCAGTGGCATTTCTGCCAGCTGATGTGGGATGTGGTGTATGGATGGGAGAAGCTGGGAACCAAGCCCCTGCACAAAGAAGGAAGGCTGCGAGTGAGCCCGTGGGGAGCAGTGTGGGAGGGTGGCAGGTAGTGCAGATGAGGAAGGCTCAGGAAGTGTTCTGGGCCATGCACTGCAGCCAAAAGAAGCAAAAACCTACTCATCCTCAAGGTAATGGTAATTGTAAAGGCATTGCTGATACCTCAGCATTGCTTAGATCCCAACAGCAAACACAAGGAAGTACGTCATTTCCTCACTGATTGCATCGTGCAGTTTTCACACAGCTCACGCCACACCAGGACCTCCACTCACATGCTGCTCAGAGCATCCAGTACAGAAGCGATCTGCTCCTATTTTTCAAAAGTAGGTCTGGGACAAAGTGAAACCCATGCCATTCCCCAGGCTTCAACTTCTGCCACCTTGCTGCCTATACATCCCAGACAGACTTTCTTGGCAGTTGTTACCCACATCACTTAGAGAACACAGCTGGGTGTACAGAACTAATACCAGCAGTCGCTTCCTTGTGCCATGTGAAAGGAAGGCTCTCAGGCACAGTGTAGTCAGTCACTGGTGCCCAGCATGTGGGCATCCTTCCAGGCACCAGGTGCCAAGGTGCTGCAGAGGCAACGCCAGCCTGAGGGCTGCAGGCTGGGCAGCGCTTGGTGAACAATGCCAGCTGTACAGGGAAAGGGGCCTGTCTGCAGGACTAACAAGCATGCAAATACTGCTGCTCTTTGCCATTTCTGTGGTTCAAGCCCAAGCAGCTGAGCTGTCACTGCTGAGACTGCTAAACAAAGCATGGCTGGTTAGCATTCTGCTCGCATCCTCCCCCCCCCCCCCCCGGGGGGTTCCCCCTCATGCTTGAAAGAAAGAGAAGGGTTCAAGCTGCAGGGCCAGCAGCTGCTGGCAGATGGAAGGTAGGAATAGTGAAGTACTGAGTCTTGTGAAGGGCCATGAAGATGATTAAGGGAGTGAAGCATTTTCATATGAGGTAAGGCTGAGCACGCTAAGACTGTTTAGGCTGGAAAAGAGAAGGCTTGGGGTGGGGGAGGAATCTTATCAATATGTATGATGGGGGGCAATGAAGACAAGGATGCATTTCATCTGCACTCTCAGTAATGCCCAGTGACAGGACCAGAGGCAAGAGGCACAAATTAAGACACATGCAATTCCATCTGAACACACGAAAACACTTCTTTTACTGTGAGGGTGGTCAAACACTGGATGAGGTTGTGGAGTTTCCATCCTCAGATATACTCAAACCCCAACTGGACACAGTCCTGGGAAATCTGCACTAGCTGACCCTTCTTGAGCAGGTGGGATTGGACTAGATGATCTCAATAGGTCCCTTCCAACCTACGATTCAGTGATTCTGTGACTCTATGAAGCAGTGCAGCCCTCCAGAGCTTTGCTCCTGGTCTGCTGTTGGGCAGATTCCCTTTCTTCAGTTGCAGCAGTTGGTTCTCAGAAGGATACAGGAGTGCAGCCATACAGACAGGCCATTTCTAGAAACACTGAATCACTGCACACACACACACAGACATGCACTCCAAAACTGTTTTTCAACTTAATTCAGAGATAAAGCAGAACAGCACACAAACTCCAGGCTGAACTGCAACCTGTGAGTGAGAGGGCAACACAGTGACCTAACCCGGCTTGTGAACTCACCAGGGTGAATGCCCCAGCCCCTGCTCACAGCCAGGCTGCTAGCAGCTGCCTCCCCCAGCTCAGTGACAGTTGCACCCTTGTACATGACAGAGCAAATGCTGGGCTGTGCCCAGCTGAGGAAATACCCATCATCCCAAAGTCTCTTTGAATCCAAGTGCTCATCAGTCTGAGGAGCCCATTGCTGGCTGCTTTCTCTATACAGGCCTGCAGAAGCAGCTGCACAGACAAAGGATTTAAACACAGACTGGGGCATCCTTCTCCTTACTAACAAAAATTATGTGCAACAGAAATGAGTAGCGGTGCGACTGACATTGCAGACACAGTGATTGAAAGCACACTGTTCAGGTCATTGCCAGATATTTGTCCTTACTAGAGCCCTATCACAGAGAAATGCATGCCTGGAAATATAACTGAAAATGATAAAATCCCTTAATTACATTTACCAGTATGAGGAATATCCTTCTCAGGTTCCTGAAGACTGCTGTCTTCAACGTGCCTGGAGCAAACATCTGACCATAGCTCTCTGACCACGGATCTCCAGGTGCATTCAGAACACAGATCCCTGACCCCGCTCAGCCCTCTCACACTATGCTCACAAGCTGCTACATTAAATGAAATCATCTCTCCCCCAGTAACTGTGGGAGTAAACTTCATTAGCACTGAGTTTCTCATTTTGTAGGAATCTTCACTTCATGCGTTCAGGCACATTATGATTACTGCAGTCCCCACAACGCCCGTGCGCTTCCAGAGAACGTTTCTATCCATCATGTCCCCACCAAAGCAGAAAGTCTCCAGTCTTTACCAGCTGTTTCTTAAGAGGAGAGTTTCTCTAGTCCCTCATAACCACTGTCACCTATCCCTGAAACTCTTCTAGTTCTGCTGTGGCCATTAGGATCAGTAAGAGCAGAAGTATACAAGGTGAGAAGAAACACAAAAGATTCACAGGGTGACATTATTGTATTTTCTTTATTTTTCCCCATCCTATTTTTTTATGTATCATAACATAACCTGACACTAGCTTTGTACCAAATAAAGATCTTCAGTTAGGCGTACACAGTGACATCCAAATCTCACCCTGCCATGACACTATTGATTGAGCCCTTAAAAGGAGTCTGGAAGGTTTAATTTTTCTAGTGTGCTTGATTTTGTGTTTTTTGATAATTAATTTTATGGGACATCATGATGACTGCTCAATTTAGTTGCAGAAGTTCCTCACAGTCTTTTCTAGATATAAGTGACTGAGTCATCTACAAATTTAGCCACCTCCATGTTCATTCCAACCCCTTTCCTCAACATTACTATATTGATCAGCTTTATATTTAGTAGGAAATCATGAAGCCCTTGTATTTTACCTCTGCATGCTGCACAAATTTGACCATGTATTTGTTTTCTAATTTGTTTTCTGTCTCTTAGGTAGTTTTTGACTTATGCATTAGCTGCCTTTTACACACACAAAGTGCTTGCTGCATAACATATGTAAAGATTTAATATACAAATGCACCTCATTCATGACCTCACTGAAATTTCAGAAAACGGACAGAGGCATTCTCCATTTCCATATAGATCACATTACTTACCATTGTGCAGAAGTGATATCACCTTCATCCTGAAGGACCACAGAGGGCACACATAATGCTCTCTTTCTACACGGCAGCCACCTCTTGAATGGCAGTCAGCAGGAACTGGCCATGAAGGCATTACACGCAAATGTCCCAGAGGTGATGAACAACAGTTGCTCTAGGCAA